GCATTTGTTGTTCTGAAAGCACATGTTCGGATTTTTCGCCATTTAAGGACAGCAGAAACTCCTTAATCCTCGTGAAACGTTCATAGAGAAAAACAGCGTATGAAATCCATCTTTCCCATCTGGGAACATTTGGCAATGGCAAACATGTGATTTCTTCTTTTTCTTCTTCCTTGTGATTCTCAGCAGGTTGTGCTGGGTTCAATTTCGTCATTCCTGTCACGTTAAGGAAAGAGTCGAGGAGAGAGTTTCGCTCTGACCCCCATGACCGATATGGGAGCCTTTTTAAATTTGTTGCGTCTTTCACAACGCGTCTCCAAGCCCCTCGGGGCGTTGAGCGCTTTGCGCTTCAGGAGTAATCTTCTATTAATTCATAAACGTCATGTCTCGACGCAGTTTTCTTAAGAGGACCGCCAAGTAGCATCTCCGCGTACGCGCCTCCTACTACGCGCCCCTGCGTCACTACTCAGGGGGAACACTCCAAAATTGGGAAGGAATTAGGATTGGGGTAGAGTTTAGGACACTTCATAGGGGTTAGACTAGCCCCTGTGAAGCATGCAAACTTGTTTTGTCATATCAAATTTCACGGTTTCTACGGGAATCGAACCTGGGGCCTCAGTGGTGAAAGGCAAACGACGACGAGAGCATTTCTCATTTGCTTCATTTGCTTGAGTGCCTTAACTTGCAAACTATATGACATGTTTACAGAACCACTGCTTTCTCTTCGTAATTTAGAATCCGTTGAGTTAATCCAATTTTTTTATATTTTTCCTAAAATTGTTTATTACTACACCTTCAGCCGAAATAGCAAGTGAATATATTGTAGTTATATGGTTAAACTCTGTAGTTTCCACATTTGTTTTATTTCCAGAGCAAGATCTTCATACTTAGTAATTTTCTCGGCTTCTGTTTTCTTTAGGTTTTGTGTCAATGGTACGGCAATATCAACAAGCAAAGCTTCTTTCTTGTCCCTGTCAATCAAAACTATATCTGGTCTATTGATGGCCACAGTTTTATCTGTTAATATTGATCTTTCCCAGTAAATGATATTACGTACAGTAAACGTATTATTTGCTTCAATTACAGGCACTGGGTTATATTTATGATACGGTGGTGCTCCAATATTTAACATTCCATGAGAGCCAATTGTTGATGGACAATCTTAGCTAGATAGACTTGTGTTCCCAAGTACGCGCTGCCAGCAAGTGCAGTGTAACCAGCTATTATATGCTTGATTGTTTCACCACTGGTGCCGCATTTCCTGCATATGTCAACCACGGGCATGTTCATGCAATGTTTTTCGTAGTTCCTTGTTCGGCATACTCTATTTTGGATTGTCGTTATAAATCCCTCTGTTTATGGGTATAAATAGCCGTCGGATAGACATTGCATCGAGGAATGTGTTTCAACATGAGGTTCATGGATAGATTTAGGAAATTTGTCGTGCATTGCCTTTTGTTGCCAGTCTTCAAGATCTCTTTGAATTGTCTCTTTTGGTGTTGTTTCTGCTGCAGTGGCCGTTGTTCCTGTGTTGAAGGCACTCAAGTTTAGTGAAGTCATCTGTTTATACAGCCATTTTCATTAAGGCATCTTGACACGAGAGTAACGAGAGTAACTTTCTTGGTTTCTGCAGTGATTTTCAATGTTTAGCAGTCACTCCTACCTTCTCTTCTGGATAGATATAGCCTTTTAATAGACCAGTCTGTATGAAGACACCTGACTTTACTAAGCAGCCTTCTAGTCAATCTATTTAATTCAGCAAGGTCTGCACACGACCACTGGAGAATTCCGAAAGAATAGGAAAGTGTAGGAATTGCCCAGGAGTTAATTGCTAAGATTTGTTTTTTCCCGTTTAAGTTTTTTTTTGTTCCGAACATTTGTAACTCTTGATCTTCTACTTATCGGCCAGAGCTTACTTCATGCTGGAATGATCTATTTGGTAGCTTTGGGCCGTACCTAAATTTTTGTAAACTTCATAGGGTGAAAGTTCTTTAATGTCTCTAATTGGTTCATTGTGGCTTGCGATCGTGCCCTTTTTTATGCCTAATTTGTCTAGTCCAAAAGACATCTTTATATCTTCACTGAACAATTTTACTGTCTACACGTTCTAATTGATTAGAACGTGTAATTTGTCTCTGCTCTCTGTATAGTTTGAGGTGACCATCGTATAACAAATCAGACAAGATGTATTTTTTAATTATTTTGTATACAATTTTGCTGTTATTAAGAACTTTGAACATAATTGTTCATTGCTAGACAAAACCATAACGGTGACAGTGAATCTCCTTGTAACATTCCATTTTCATTATGAACCACTCCTATATTTTCCGAACTCGTCCATATGTTGGTTCACCATTTCGCCGTCATTGCATTAAGCTTCTGTTTGATTTTTGAACATGCACCGTATATCTCAAGAAACTTTTGCAACCAACTGTGCGGGACAGAACCAAATGCCTTCTGGTAATCTATGCAGCACATATGCAGATTGGTCGTCTTTTGTGAACTTGTTCCAAGGTAACTGAGTCAATTGTCAGCTCATGTTTATATTTCATCAATCTTTTGATGCAACTCCTTTGCTTCTCTTCTAACACGTAATGGTTCACGCAGTGTTCATATATCTTGTTGCTGATTAGCGATTTGAGGAGTTTGTAAACAGTCGATAGGCAGGTGAATGGTCGTTGGTTTTGTGGTTGTAACATGTTCTCCTTTTTCCCGTCGCAGATAGGTGCTCCCTTTCATAAGAAAATCGGGAATGAATGTAGGATTTTGAAGGGTGTAGCATTCAGCCAGTGGCTTGTGGACAGTGGGACAGTATTTTGGCCAGAAATTATTAATTTTGTCAGGCCCAGGGGTTTTCCAGTTGCTGGTTTTACTGATGGCTCTGGTCATATTGTCAGTAGTAAACTCTGTAGCGTTCATTGATGGAATTTTCGATTATTATTTTTATTATTACTTTCATCGTCATTATTACATACTCTCATAACTAAAGATGTTAGGTGTCGGTTAAATATAAAATTTACTGCAGTGTGTAACTAGCTTCTTAAGAAGTATATGTAGTTGGATGCCAGTACAATAATTTGCGCAAATCCGGGATGGTCCAAAGGTCTTGCATGTCCCAGACTTTTCAGTTATCTGAGAGTTTGGATAAGTTCTTACATACATTTTGGGAAACAAAACAGAGCTAACTGCCGGGACGGCCAGTGTTTTTATGCCCTACCCTCGATTTCCGAACTCTTGTATTTAAGACGTTTCTTTGCGTGCATTCAAATGACATTCCGATCTCATGACACAGCGTCATCAACAAGAAAACATTTTTTCCAAATATTTGTTGTTGTTATTAATATTATTATTATTATTATTATTATTATTATTATTATTATTATTATTATTATTATTAATTGTCAGGTAAAAAGAGAAAAACATCAGATAGATAATATTTATGGAAATAAACTATAGTAAACTATGAAAACCTCCCTTTGAAAATATTCAGGGGGCCACGGCCCCTGCCTCCCATTTGCGCACGCCTATAATTTAGATAGTTTCACTGTGTTGTGATAGCGCCAGACTGAAATGGCGATACAATGAGGAGGCATCAGCTAGTTAAACTTTATGGTGAGAAACATTATGGGTGATGTATATTCAAACTGACGTGAAGATTATTTGCTGTTCATTGTGTGATAAAATTAAGGTATATGAGAAGCATATATAAGACAGAATAATGCAACACTTAAATGCAAATATGCAAATCACGGGAAAAACAGAAATTTGCAGTAAAGCTTCAAATGCCATTAATTATTGCGTCATTACAGAGACCAGAAGAAACGTTGGACAAAGTAATACGTTTTTTCAGTGACGTGACAGGTAACTTAGTTATCCTCACAAAGCTAATGCACCAGCAATTAAAAATATCTTAGAAAATATAAAATAATATCGCTTGTAGATGAAAATACTCTGAAGAAAAAATACCTGAAAACAATTTATCAAGATCGTATTCAGAGAGCGAAAAATAAATTTGTAGACAATCCTGTTTTGCTCCATTTTGGGCGAAACAACAGAGTATATTTCGAGTATTCTCGTGTTGCCTTTAACAGGGGATTTGTCAAAATCAATATTGTTTGCAATGTATGAATTAATAAATCAAAAGTAATGCAATGTCTAAAGACTGTTGCTGTAAACTGTGTTCTTCAGAGATTACATACAGCAAAAAATGGCAAGTTGTAAACGATCAGGCAACATTTTATGATTTCACTATTTGCGCTATTGAAAACTTAGTAACGTGGATTGCTCATGCATTGCTCTGGCAATGCGAAGCAACAAAAGTAGAATACCACACTGCAAATAACTTCCTTTCTGAACTAAAAAAGACTCTGATTAAAGTTGCAGCCAGAAAGCATAATTACAGAAAGATCACGTTTGCCCTTGCCAAATGTTCCCAGGTCGAAAACTTGGATTTCATGCGCTGTTTTTCTCTATGAACATTTCACGAGAATTAAGAAGTTTCTACTGTCCTTAAATGGCGAAAAATCCGAACAAACAAATGCTTTGTTGAAAATCCAAATTTCAGAGACTGAATTGTATGAATGATCACGGTACGTGAGCGTATAGCCGAGTAGATGGCCGAGATCGCTAAGGCAGTAGTGCCGTTGTTGGTGTACCATGTGTGTTTTCCTTGAATCTCTCACTATCATCATCATTTCATCTTCAATACCCCCAGAGCTAAAAACCTTGAGGAATAAAAATTGGACGTAGCTAAATTCTGATTCCATAATAAAATTACATGCACCTTGCACCGAAATAATGTTTACTGAGGCCCGGTAAAATGCAGGGTGCATGCACGCGTGGTTCAAGTATGCCTATTCGTGATCGAATAATAATAATAATAATAATAACAACATTCAAACCATTATGTCATGATTATAATCCGAGTATTTGCATGATGGTTTCTGCAATCATATGGGCTGATATTGAGGGAATAAAAGTAAAAATGTGTTTTTTTCTTGCAGAGCAAACAAAGTCCGGTCGAAGAACTACTGCGTCAGGCTGATCAACTTATCTCAGCGCAAAGACCGCGTGCTGAAGTTTATGCTGCCATGGCTGAATCGCTAGGTGTTGCATGGAAAGATGTCAACAGTTACCTGGAATTGAGGAAACACATTTTAGATCTCAATGTCTCCTATCAAAGGTAAAATTAAATTTATGTGAAAATTCTCTACTTTCTGAAAATGTGAAAAATAATTACTAAAAAGTGAATTTTTATATAAAACAGACATTTTAGTTATATTGCTTATTTATATTTAAAAAAGATTTTTATAATACATAATTTTCGGTGTATAAATTATTGAATTTATCAAACATAGACATATAGATTACATGCTCCATTATTGAGGAATTATTGCGGATAATTAGCATTTATTAACAATCCATTATTTTAGTTTTAAATTGTAAATCATGGCACAGACTTAAAATACAATTCAAAACAAGTTTCAAATGTACTCAGTATTCAAATATTTATGGAAGTTCAATTTCTCTCACCCGTGTACCGTATATTCATAATACCTGAAACTTAGGGCGCAGACACACGAGCGTTACTTTGACGTAACGATGATGGCGTCAGATGCGTCGACGCGCGTCGATGTCTGTGCACACCAGCGTTACTTACTGCCCGTCTCGGCCGCTATTCGCTACTGAGAATGGGCACCGTCGAAACTGCTATTGTAGGTTATGTGGTGCTGAAAATGTTTAAGAAAAGGAAAAGTAAACAGTCCAGGTGATATTGGGTGCACCCAATTAATAGTGAAAGGCTCTCTGAGGGTGATTTATTACATTCTTTTCAATAAGCTGCGAGTGGACAGGGAGATTTTTTTGTTATTATCGAATGTCAGAAGAATCATTCTCTGAGTTGATGTCCAAACTAAATTAAGTTAGAATTTCGTCGTCTATATCCATTCCAAAGTTAAACACAAGGCAATTAAATAAATTATTAATATTAAATCGGAAGAAAAAATTACCTTCCACTTGAAAACTAATATTTCCGCAGATCAAACGTCCGTTGATCCTGCGATGATATTACCAGGTGTGCGGAGACACTACTGCCTACAGCTCAAGCTTCAACGGGCATCGAAGATACAGTGTTTTTTTTTTATTTTTTATTGTTATTTTTATTGTTTTTTTTCATTTTTAGCTCTCAACTCATGTCGCTGGCAACGCGCTTCGGGAAGAGTGCACGTGTGCTGTTGCGCATAAGATGTAGTGTTAATCTACGACGCACGTTATTTAGCAATACCTAGCGCGTCAACGCAACGCTCGTGTGACTCAGGCATTCGTCTACATATTTAAGACAGCAATTTAACTGAAATTATTTAAAGTGTATAATTTTTATTTTTGTACAATTATAGTTAATTTAAATATAATTAGTATATATTAATTTGTGGGTCATTTATTTTTTTAGTTTCATAAAAATATTACACACGATTATAGTTGAAATGCCATGCAATTAATACACCATGGCGCAAGTTGACCAAGTAAACCAGTGACAGATCCAGGAAGTATTTCGAGTGGTGGCAGGGACATTTTCAATTCAGACTTTCCATACAAATTTTTGAAATATAATCTATTTTACTTCTTAGAATGAAATAAAATTTTTTCGAGTGTGTTGATACTGGGAATACTGCTTTGGATGTGATAAGATCTATGGTCATTATTTCAAATAAACTGATTAAAATTACAAAAAAGGTAGTTCGGGTGAGGGATGGCTCCCATGACACCTCCTTGAATCTGTTGCCAACTTGTATTTCTTGTTTATTCTTGTACCTTATTGTCCAAAGCTTCTTAGATTTTAGGAGTCCAATAAATTTATGAATTGCTAATAAGCAGTTTGCTAACTGAATTTTGTCTTTTATCAATTAAAATTACAACTGACCATGAAAAAACACAACTTGGGAAAATGTGGGTGAAAAGAAGGCAAAAAGTTGTGTTACTTTAAATAAGTGATTAACAAATAGTTTGATTTAAATCGTCTTATCGCTACACCACGTTCTGATTATACAGGTTGTTCAGAACGTATTAATTGATTATTCAGTTTTGCTTAAAAGGAATTAGTTTAAGAATATATCGAAAGCAAATGTGACTGAAGGGAAAGACTGATCGCGTGAAAAATCGGAATTTTGAATTTCGCAACTATGTTCATTGACAAATTGTGTTCTAAGAATCTAACGTCTACAGTATTGAAACCCATTGTACTCGTTATTTTGTTTTTTCATTTTGTCTCAGAGTTTGCATACTCTAATATACTACCATATTCCAAAATTGTGTTATTGATTCAGTGAGAATAGTGTTTTTGTATTTCTGCATAGTCGATGCAGTCTTTCTGATAATTATGTTAAATGCCTTAATATTTATATATGTATTTTTGACCAGGAAACACACTGACTCAATTATTTCACTTCATGTTATTTTGTAATGTTAATTTCATGGGCAATTTTAAATAATCGATTGAAGTATCTGTCCCTTCAAGTATTGAAATTCTTACCCAATTGGCAGAGAAAACTGCAAAGTTTGACTTACTACATTGTTGGTTGGGTAGGCTTGGGTAGGCTTCCGCGGCCGGAGCTTGAATTATCAAGGCTATCCGGGACGCGCCGCGTCACTGACATGGTGGCTAACGTTTCGGACAGCGTATTGTGATATTTATGATTTACTACATTGTTGGCATTCATGACTCTATGTATCGTGAATATTAGTATTGTTGTAAAATATGTATGATAACATATATTAAGCATTGTATAAAATATAACTGTGTTTAGTGATGCATAATCATTATGTTTATCAGATATATACTATAGTTCTATGAAAATTTGTAAAATTGTTGTTATTGTAGTCAATGTAAAACGTGCTCTGAAATGAATATGTATAACAAAACTACAACTTCTATTAAAAACTATATTTTTACAGTCGCGCCGAAGAATGCATCGAACGAATGCTGGCTCTTGAGACTGCATGCCGAGATACGAACGTGCCTGTCGAAATCGAAGCAGTAAAAAATCTGCTAGCAAAACTTCACGACTTCAAGAGGATGATGTTGGAAGCCCTCATGGTTACGCTGCAAAACGGAAGAGCTTTACACGAGAAGATTAGCGAAATAGCTGCTCAAGGAACACTAGATTCTCGACCAGATAAAATTACTAGTTCTGCTAATTTCAGTAAGTTCTAATACAACTGTTTCCTTTTGAAAAACAATAATAACTGCCAAAACCATGCTTGTGAAAGGAATATTAAAGAATGATCTATGAATATTAAACGAACCTGATGATATATAACCCCTCCTACTTTTGATTTAATTTGATTTGATTTATTTTTTTTTCAAAAAGGCAGTAAAAACTTGTATGAGACATGTAGGGGAAAAGTATTAGCTCCGCAAGTTTTCTTGAGATCCAGATTACTTACCCCAACCTTTTACTATACTTAGTTGCATGATGAATGAAAGTACCATCAATGAGTGTTTAGAAACATTTGAAGACTAGACATGATCACTCTCTAATAATATTTGAGCCCTTATAGTCCAAGTGGTGTAACTCACTTATTTATTGTACTGAAATATTTAGTGTTTTACTAGAGTTGTTATAGAAAATTCAGAAGTACATTATTTACTTTTTTACATATATGTGTTCAGAGGGGTTTGTTTTTGCTCAGATTGACAATACTCATTAATTTTTTCCAGTTTTAGACTTGTGTGAATGGCCTAAATAAAATTACATCACTTGTGAAGTGAACAAATAAAGCATAAGAGATAATTTGCAATGCAAATAACATTGTATTGACCTAGTTTTTGGTGCATATCATCAATATAAACATTGCCATTTACATTCAGTCAAGTATTGTCTTACTGATTATTTTGTTTAGTTGCAGACTTTGTATAAGACTAAATGGAGTTACACAACTTGTGATATGAAAATATAAATGATTGTCAAGAATATATGAAATGCAAATAACATTATCTAGATAATTTTTGTTATGAACATTAATATCATTTCCATTCAGTGGTTTGATTATGATAATTTTTATCCTGTAATAGACTTGGTAAAAGAGTCTAAAAGAGGTTATACTATGTGAATCAAAAAGGTAAAGGATATGATTTTGAAGAAGATGCATTTGACGTAGTTTGACATAGTGAGGAGGAGTTAAAAATTTAATTTATGTTAAAACACGTAGATTTTTTAAGGTCACATTTTAACTGCTTGGTTATATAGCGGCCACTGTGAATTTTAACATTGTGGTAACTATATAGGCAACAAGAAACGGAATGGTATAAGGACACGAACACATACGAACATCTTTGCCCAAGGCGGGATTCGAACCCGTGACCCTTCGAGCTGAGGTAGCCAGAGCCCTTCAGCTTCACCGACATCAGCTATCCAGGCCGGCTTATATAGTTTTTGTTACTCATCAATCATGACAAACATCAATATTGTCAGTTCCATTCTGTTGTCCAATGCCTTCCACTTCATCAAAAGGAAGAAGACTATTAAAATAGTAGTGATGAAAAGTTATTCATATCGGTTTTCTTTTTTGTAGCGAACTGTGGTCCTCTTTGGTAAAAACGGTTCTAAAGTGACACACTACTAGTTTCCCCGATAATTGTATGCTATTTTTCCTTCATTGTGGCCAGAAACAGAACTTTACTAGTGCAAGATAGTAATTAGTGTTGTTAACAGTGATATACAGGGAATGATGTGGTTCTCTCATCCGAAATGTTCTTGTTGTCAAAACCAAAATTATGAAGGTGCTGAAGTTTCAAACAACTGTTCTCTTGTTGTAGTTTACATTGTTTCACAGCGATTCAATACATTTCTTATAGATAAGGTAATTCTTTCTGATTACTTCCAGCACATCTTCTAATCTGCAGGTCTATATGCTTGCTATTCGTACTTCTGGTGACTGAACGAATGAACTAGAGGTAAAATAATATATCCACTACTGAGTTAAAATGACAGTCTATGCCTTTTTATCCCCCATATTTACGGTCTCTATGATTTCCTTCGTTTTACCATTATTGTTATTGACAGTATTATTTGACACTTATTAAAAATATGTTTAATGTTTTAAACAGCCAGAACTGTTTCAGTTGCATTGCAAGCTCTTCATACTTTCTAATATTCTGTAATTCAGTTTTCTTGACATTATGGGTTAAAGCAACTGCAAAATCAATTATAGACGTCATTTTATTGGTTTTATCAATTTGGACCATATCAGGCCTGCTTATAATCTTTTTAATTACTCTTTTGTCCATGGTAACAAATCGGTCTCAGTATATTACATTATTCTTTGTTTTCAATACAGCGGCTGACCTACATTTTAATATAGTGTAGAAGAGTAAAACAGCTCGTATTTAACTGCAAGCTTTTGATGTATCAATCTTGTGAGTTGGTTGTGTCTTCCAAGATAGGCGTTATCTGATGCCGGACAGCCCGCCAATTATGTTCAATTGATTCGCCATATGTCTGCATTTGCCTGCCACATTAATTATCATTAAATTTTTTCTGCACAATCCTATCATGGGCCATTAAAATCCCTTCAGTCTCTATGTATAAATATCCACTTTTTAACCAATGCAGAGACGCAGCTTTATCAATATGCTGTTCATTCAGATGATTTGGGGAAATTATCGTGTGGGATTTTCCCCTTCCAAGAGTGTAGATAATCTTGTGTATTTGGAATGCTTTTCGTGGCGTTACAAGAAAGATTGAGGGGCGTGTGACGTAAACCAATTTCATTAACTTGCAGCAAAATTAAGTCAGAAGTGTTCCTCAGTTTACTTTCCATATTCTCTTCTTGTTTCCTACATAACCAGTGTACATTCAGTAGGCCTCTTCCTCCAACTTTTCGGAGTCTGTCTGTGGAAGAATTAAGATGCAGACATCGGAACTTAGTTAGCAATCGTCTGGTTATGTGTTCTAACAAATTTAAATCAGATTCAGACCACTTAATTATTCCAAAAGAGAAGGTTAATGATGGCACAGCCCAGTTGCTGATGGCTGTTATAATGTTCTTACCTGATAATTTTGTCTTGAGTACTTTAGTTATTCTACTTGTACTCCGGTACTCTTCCGCGGCTATACATGACAAAACCATATTTATCGATGTCTTTTTGTTAGGAATTCACGTCTACTCTACCCCCATAAACTTTAGAGCAATTCCAGTTGTTGAGATGACCATTTGTTGAGATGACAGATTTCTGCATACTCTTACACACGTTCACATCACAGATCTTTTAAACTTTTGAAGAGTGCCTTCGGGATTACTGCGGTGCTAGAGATGACAATGGGGATGATTATGCAGCATGATCCATATGCTACTGTCTCTTGATACTATCAACCAGCAGAGCATATTTTGTGATCTTCTCGTCATACTTCTCTTGGAAAATTTTCGTGTTTGTTATCACGACGATCAGGTAGGCTTGCCTTTTCGCCTTGTGTACTAGAACCAAATCAGGCCGGTTGTGAGGGTCGGTCTGGTTTGTGATAATTGTTCTCTCCAAATAAATTCGGCATTCATCATTTTGAGAACATTGTTAAGTACGTATTTATATTAGGGTACCTTGCATTATTTAAGCGGGTGTTGGTAAGCAATCTCTTAATGTAGGATTTTCCAACTGCATCATGGCGTTGTCATCTGTTTTAGAGATATGTGTGCATCCAGATGTAATATGGTGGGAGTTTTCCTGTGCCTGGCATCCATATCGATATCTGTGATCTCGAAACCCAGGATCTCTTACTATTGCTTTCAGAAAATGTCTAGTGGGTATGACTTGATCTTGTATTGCCAGCATAGTACCTTCTGTCTCTGGGAACATCTGACCTGTCATTACCCAGTACTTCGACGCTTTCATGTCGACATGATCTCGACGAACTGCGTACAGGTGCTTTCCAAGCAGAGGCTTGCTTATCCACGTTTCCTGTTTTTGCTGTTCTGTATAATTATTTCCGTTGTATTCTTGATGACTTCACGTCAACGGCGTGGATCCATCTGCTAAAAAGACGGCACGATGTAGTTTCGATGTTTTTGCTTCCTTGACAGTATTCTCGTAGAGGGTTTTAAATGTTGGGACTGCGAATGTCGCCAAGACCTCGACCACCCAAATGTCTTTGCACTGTTATTTCAACTGCTGATTTTGGAAGCCACACATATATTTCGATGGCTAGCATATGCTTGGCCACACACAACTGAGTCAATTATTAATTCTTCTTTACAGCCCTTTGATCGTCTGCTGCAGCCTTTTTGCTGAGGGGCAATCATGTTATTTTGTTTGCAATGACTACACATTTTCTTAGCTAAACACTATGTTATAATTTTGTATAGAGAAAGCAGACAGGTTATTGATTGAAATTTTTCGGGTCTTTTGTATTCATTATATTATTATTATTATTAGTAGTAGTAGTAGTAGTAATATATTATTATTATTATTATTATCTCCCTCTCACACTTAAGTTTCGGCTGTACATCAAAATCCATAATAGGTTGTACCCAGCTTCCTAAGGTGTAAATTCGGTGATCTGATTGGTTCTAGAATACCTTGCGCAAAATGTGCACCATACCGTACAGCACAATATCCTGAATTTCGTAATACTTACTGCAGCTTAGAATCTTAGTCAAGTGCTTCGTAAGATATTTAAGAATGGACCTCTTGGCACCTATTATTAGTGGCTAACATTCTGTTCCAATATTCCACATTCGACTCGATTGCAATATCTTTACATTTTATATATTTCTCTACAGACTTTTCTGTTACATTTCCATCACATGGGTCATGTACATCAATGAGGAGACATGTTGTTTCTGTTGTACTTCGAATCGTTATATCTGGTTTGTTAGCCATTATAGTACGATCAGTCTGAATCTGTTAATCGTGAAGGATGGTGTTTTGCCCAGTTCTTGTTACTGGTTGGAAGTGTGGTCGTACCATTTATTGCTTTTCTCTGGGACATTCATAGCTTTACTTATATACCAGTAAAGATATGAGCACACTTTATTGTGTTCTTTCAGATATTCATGTTTAGCCAGAATGATGAATCGTTTCAGACTGCTCTCCGCACAGTCGGCATCTATCGTCCTATGTTGCCTGCAAGATGACATCTTACTGGCGGGTTCATAGTGCCTGATCTTGTGCTGGTATTAGGAATGCTTCTGACAATATTCCTTTTTCTTCTCTTAAGCCACGCTTGTGTTAGCTCCCCCTTAACGTTCACATTATCGAAACGAGCTAAATATTGGCCATGGAGAGGTTTGTTTCTTTACTACCTCCTTCATTTCGTCTTTTGTCCACCTAATACGATTACTCCGAGCCTTAGCCTGATATGGGTTCCTCTGACTTACGTCTGTAGAATGGCCAGATTTAAATACGGTGTTATTTCCTCGGGTAGAGAGCAATATTGGAACATCTGTAGAGCAAGGCACGTTATGTCTGTTCTTTTCTTATTCTAACCATATTGCTCGATTTATTATTATTATTATTATTATTATTATTATTATTATTATTAATCCTTTTTTTAAAATACAAAAGATGTCGGGGTTACTGCCCCAGACAAAATTTGTCTGTACAATATTTATGGAGGTACAAAGAAGGTAAAGTCTACAGATCAAGCACTTCACAATTATTCTCAATTCTCTATTTTGGAATCTATTTCACAATCTTCTAGTGATGCATTAACTTCTCTAGTTATTTATCCCTCAATCAAGATTCAAAAATTACCTGAGAATGTTCGCTGTACCAAGTAAATTCATTGATTCATTGATTGTTAGTGATTTCGGGCGCTCCAACTAGCGTTCCTTAGTCCCATACCACATACCGCCAACTTCCTTAGTCCCGTACATGTATGTACATGTTTTTGCTCGGGAGGTGGCGGTGTTCTTGCCCCCGCTGTATGGCGAGACCCGGCGCCAACCTACCGTTGGCTAGCGGAGGTTTCCTCCCCAATTCCCCAGACAGCGACTGAATTCGACCTAGCTGACAAGCTAGTGTCGAAAATCCTGCCACCGTCGGGACTGAAGGTAGAACCTCTCGGACACAGGGACTGCAGTGACATTTAGTTGATGCCCTGAGTCATCTCTTCCGTTAGCACAGTCGAGTGAGTGGGGAAATCTACCATGGAGAATTTTAGATTTCCAAGCTTGTATTTTAACGTCGTGCCAACGTGCGCGCTGGGCTCCTCATGTCGGGAGACCGGCGAGGGCACGGGGCAGTCCTTGGCGGCAGGCGAAAGGCCACCAAGCTTCGGGGCCTCCCAGAGGGGTCGGGGCGGGCGTATCTCGGTACCGGCTGTCAACTGGCGCAGCCTCTGGGCAGCTGTGCTCCAAATTGCAACCAGCACCATGTATTTTTCTTCTTAACTAGAGACTGCATATTTGAAATGCTCACGTAATCATGTCTTGTTCACTAACTGTAATTACTGGTTTGCTAATAATATATCTCAGTCTGTCACATATGTTTTGTTCTGTGAACTTACCTATATGTGGTCAATAACTCTCATTAGTTCTTGATATATTTTTGCACGATAGTTGACCGTAATTGTTTCAGAATATGCTGAAATTTCAAATTCACAGTGTTCCAATTCACTGTGTTGCAATTTGGTACTCCAGCAATAAATCACAGTTATGTTTGTGGGTCCATTTAAAACGGGCTTCGGCAGAAGCCTTGTTAAGGTCGCTGACACTCAGTGGTCGAGGTAAACGAGCAGATGTGTGACGTGTGTGGTTTGTTGGTCCAAGCTTAGTGGTCCAGTCGCGTATTCGGGTTCGCCCGTAGGAGTCGCAGGACATCTCGAGAATCCCACACTGGTGGTTCATTCACTGTCACACTCAGCACCAGCTCCACGTGCGACCTGACGCTCCTCTGGTAGCGGCCACTCTTCCTCAAGTTTTATTTTTTCGAAGACTCCATCATGCAGTGTGATGCGTTTTAGCCTTTCGGCCAGGGGTTTTCTATTAGGTTTTATCTCTTCAGCGGTGGCCTTCACCAACCTTCACCAGCTGCAACGCCACCCTGGCTTTCTTCAGCGTGTCCTAGACAGGAGCCCTTAGTCGGTACTGACAGCTGGAGCCGGCTGAGCCCATGTTATTTTATAGAGGCATGCTCTTCTAAAGACTTCTGCTCCTTGGTCCGTTGGTCTTCTCAGAGGTCCCTTGGCATCCATATTATCACAATGGAAAGTCCCAGTGATTACTTGATGTACCCCTTATTATTGTTATTATTATTATTATCATCATCATCATTAATGGCGTATAGCCCATTACTGACCACGTTACACGAATAATGTGTGCAAGTTTTCTAGGATACGCCCTTCAGCTGTATCCTTCAGTACGACAATGTTGTTACGCTTTGAAGCGCGAATTATGAGATGATGATGAGGGGTGAAGGGACTATCACATATTCGATGTCTACACGAGGCTCGATCCTGCAGCCTCCTCGGCGCTGACGACGGCTGCTGCAACTATCTGAGCCACGGGGCTGACACCCCTTATTATTATTATTATTATTATTATTATTATTATTATTATTATTATTACTATTATTATTATTATTATTATTCCGCTACGCGCTACTAAAGACGTTACGGGTCGTTTGAATATAAAATCTACTCCGAGTTGCAACCAGCTTCCTAAGGGACAGCTTCCTAAGGGACCTGGGAAACGTCGGTGCCACTACAATACTTTGCGTAAAATGTGGACCGTGCCCAGTAAAACAATGGCTTGTACATCCCAGACATTTGAATGACCTGGGAGTTTAGCCAAGTTCTTACACAGATTTTGCGGAACAAATCCCAGAGCTGTTATTCTGCATGACTTGTATGCAATGCTTTCTTCGCAATGCTTCCTGTTTTACTTACAATGCCTCTGTTTCCCATCCTTCAGCCAGATTTAATGACCTGTATCATTAGTGGGTCATCTTGATGACTGACTACATACTTTCCCACCCTGATTATTGTATTTTTCCAGGAGGCTTCATTTTTTCTGAAGATTCTTCCTCGTTACTTACGTGACACATAAAGTCTGTGTACATCAGCTACAGGTGCGCGACATGTTTCTTTGTAAGCGAATTTCTGTTTTTTCGATCCATGATTCGGATTGCTTACTCAGTCCAATCCACTAATACGAAACTGTACTCGTGTCGTTCGAGATTTTCTCTCATTCTTCAATGCCCAACTATTTCTAAGTTTTTCCTGGCACAAGATCTTGAATCACAATGTGCATATTAACATCAATGCTCTCTGGCGTTGTCACTACGTCTTTATTTAAATTGACTATTGCACGTTTGTGCACATTTGTGATTTGCTCTTTTGTATTTATAATTATTAATTCCATTTATTTATTTCACTGTAATGGAAGCTTACATCTTACTCAGGGTCTGTTTATTCAAAGCACGTAAGAGTTCGGTATTGCATCTTTCCCATCTACTCTCCCAGTATTGTTCGAACGATACTGCAGGTGTTCAGAATTCATTCAGACGAAGGTCTGAATGGATACATACACATCACAGTTCAAATCTAAGATGTCAATACTATTGTTCAGTGTGTTGTCCAGCGCCAATAACAACTGGCACCAGTATGACTTTTGCCATACCTCACATAGATTTGATTTCATTTGCCAATGGAAGGTATTTTGTAATTTTTTACGTGCGTTTTTTCTTGAGATTGGGTAGCAGAGAGACTGTTATATCGATGTTGTAAATTTTTCTTTCAGTCTTCAAAACCAGCACAATATTCGGAATGTGGTTTGGGATTGGTTCATCTGTTATTATTCTACGTTTCTAGCAAAGTTTACAGTTCTCGTCTTCTTTTGTTGGTGGTGGTTTATAAGAGTAGTATGGTATCTACTTCCCATCATCAAAATACTTTTTCTTGAGAGCTTGGTGAATCATTTTGGCCACATGATTATGTCTGTCAAGATATTGTTTTGGCGCTAAAACTGAGGATCCAGAAATTATGTGATCGATCCCCTCCTATTTTCCCCCACACATTCTGCAGTTGGAGTTTTGTGTATTTTCATGCATGATGTACTTGCAGTTGGCTCTCGATGTGATTATCTAATCTTGAATAGCAATTATGACGCCTTGCGTTTCCTCAAACAGGTTTCAAGCCGCAGATAAGCCAAAGAAACTTGCACTTATTTCACTATTTTCTAATGTGTTCCTGTAGCGGTAGTCCATCTTTCTATAGACCATTCCCCGATCAACCTGAACCAACTCGGGCAGTTTCAAATGGATCATTTGATTTTGGAGAGTACTTTACATAACACCTCAAAATATTTTCTTTTTTTTAATAGTGCCAAATTTTTTGTTCAAACTTTTTCCTCGGATAGTGCAAAGGACGCGTAAGAGAGTGGTGCAAGTCTCGTATTCACTGCAATCCCTGATTTTTCTAGAATTGCAAAAGTGGAATTTTTGGGGGCGTTTTTCTACAAGTACAATATTGAAAATAGACCTTTTTTTTGCTATTTAGGGTCGCATCAACTACTAGGTCATTAGCGTCCACAATTGCTTGTAACGGTATGGTAACTGAGAGGATTACATGATAATGATGATGATAGGGGGTGATAGGAGGAACCCAAATAGCCATGCACGAGGCGGGAGCCCCTGTGCGGGCACGCGCATGTCTCCCGAGGCTCAACAGCGCTTCCAGGCGACGAAATGCACACGACCTTCCGGGGACATACAGGCTGCGTCGGAATTGGGAAATTACAAATAACCCTTTCTACAGGAATGTATGCTTCTTGGATCAAAACGACAAAGCTTTTATTGCTATCTTTATGTGGAACATGGACAGTTTCCTCTCCTAAAATTACTTGCATTGTTTAATAATAATTATAATAATAATATAATAATAATAATATTATAATAATACTAATATAATAATAATAACAATAATAATAATAATAATAATAATAATAATAATAATAATAATAATAATAATAATAATAATGGTGATAAATTTGTAAACTTATTTAGGAAGGCTGCACATCATGCTCCAAAATACTGCAGGTTCCCCAATTCTCGTTTCAATTCTTGATGATTTGCGTAGATGTTTGGAAAATTTCCTTGATTACTTTCTCCGTTCAGGAAATGTGACAACTCTTCTTTTGTTGCAGCTATTTCACAGATTGAACATTGGTTAGAAGAGCTCCATGACAGAAGAAAAGTATTGGAAGTAAAGTGGCAGAGTCGTAAGACACAATTAGAACAATGTCTGTCATTGTCGTTACTAGCAAAAGATCTCAAGGAATTGGATGAAATTTTGTTTCTTCGTAAAGAGGCCCTGCAGAATACTAGTGTACAGATGGGAGATTCAGCGTCTAGTGCAGAATTGATTTTACATGAACACAGGAAATTAATCAACGAAGCAAGGGTAAGTCATATTTTTTGAGAACGTAATATAATTTGATATTGAATTGTACATTTTAAGAAGCGAAAATGTTATTGAAAAGAGACAGCAAATTCTATAACGATACTACAACGGTATGCGAAACAGTACATTTTTATTAGAAATATGTTACACATGCGTAGCGTATGACGCAAGACACAAATCTGACCCACGTACTCATTGAAACACAATCTATTAACCACAATCTATTAACCAACCTTGTTGCATCTACCTTTTCTAAGTATCATCAATAATGAACGAAACTTATTTAGATTACAACAGAACGTGAACTTTATATGTTAATATTAAAATACAAATCACTTAATATTCTGATGATACCTAATTTCTGATGCTAATCGAATGAGACAGAGCAAGGTACATCACATACTGGAAACAATCATTATTTTTACCACATTTTAATTTCTACGAGAGCAAACATCTAATGATATTAACATGGACAAAAGTGCTGCCAATACGTAGCTTCTTCATCATAATACAGATAACGAATTATGGTGGCTTCACACGAAAATATGTTCACCTGATGTTTCGGCAAAGGAGACTTGACTTTGGTTGATATATTCTACTACTCATTATTTTATTTGATGTTCATTTTCTTTTTGATCCAGCTTTCTATAAATATTTTTAGTCCAGTGACAGGAATTCGTTTTAATGGTCTAATCTTTATTTGTTTTCGTTTTGTCTCATATTTAACTACTAAATCGTTCTGTTATTTGTTACATACAGCAATAATAAGGAAAAATAACACATCTCTCTTACTCGCGGACACATTTTTAACAGACAGGAACCTTCAAATATTTCAAATATTACTGATATATTTAATGTTCATGGATCATTTTTGCTGTAGTAGAGGGAATGGGAATTAATATCGCTTCGGAGCAGTCAACTGACTTCTCTAACGACTATTCCCAGAACACTGTCACAGGCCAGGTATCCATCGCCACCCATGAGCATTTTGAACAACCCTTACTTCTGAATCATGCGCCAGTTGCTCTGGACGCAGTGACCCCGAATTCTAGAAAGTTAGTTACCTTGCACGCGACCTTGACATCTCTGTGAGTGAGTAATGAGGAGGTAACTACCAATTGTAATCGTCATTATCTTGAGACGTCGTTAAAGAGGGCTGGTGATAACATCATGTTGGCTACTTTTTCTCCGTAGCCCTAGAACCGACTGTTTTATTTTTTCTTGTAGATGAAAAATAATAAAGCGTACATTTCTAGATGCTCTTTTGTTTTCTTGGCCTGAGGAAGGTACTTCGCAAGAGGAGAAAGTGTAATCATGCGCAGGGAAACGGCGAATTTTCAGTAGAAAAACTTTTATTGCCGGGGTCCGGTAACGAAAAGTGGTTAAATCCTGTTGCCTGTATAGTACACTACTCCTCTAACACGTGGTTTAGTGAGAATCCATGACTTGTGGGTATTGTCGGTTGATGGTACAACGTCTCTCTGTCCGTCTGGGCTTCCGTCTGTGGTCAACGCTATCGCCTAAACCAGGCATGTAGAGGTCGTAGGCAAGGTAACAAACTTAATAGTAGAGTACGACGCCGCGAGAAGTTGGTGCGAGATTTTAAAGAAAAGGTTGTACAGTTCTCCGGCGTGGTGGTACCCCAATGGACACCTGGTCTAGGACCGTCTTTTGGAGAAGTCAGTTGGCAGTTATTGCCCCACAATCTAACTACATTAATTTCCATTTTTCCCCCTTAAAGCAAAGAAATATCTGTTAAAATTAAATAATAATTCAGGCAGATTCAAATTTTCAATTGAGAGTGAAATTAAAAAAAAATTAATAAAAGGTATTTTGATTTTGTATTTCGGTTTACTTAAGAATGATATAAAAGCATGATCTTTGTAGGTTCACGTTAGAAGGTTTAACAGACAAATATTCTTGTCTGTTAAAAGTGGTGTTCGTCACTAAGCCAGAATTATTAATTTATAGATACTTATTAATTTATTTTACATTATTGCTAAATAAATATACAACTGAATGATTTAATAACACAATTTATTAAGACAATAAACATCAAATAGAAATAATTAGTGAAGAATATAACCATAATACAATTCTCTTATATTTGATAGAACAAATGTGGCAAACATATTCTCGTATGAAGCCAATATTCGCCGCGTCGGGCCTCTTCAACTTGAGCTTCAGCTTCTGCATTTTAAGAGGAAATAAGAGCGGAGTCAGGGGAAGTTGCCCCCCCCCCCCCGTTCGTGCTCGTAGGAGCGCCGGGCTACCCGGACGGGCAAGCCCCTCATACGGGCGCCGTTTGACGTTCCTGACTTAAACCGTTCAGATGATTTTTTTTCAATAGTTGATATTCTCCGATCGACCTCGACGACCTGAGGGCTTTTGGAGTTTCAAATTGATATTTTGATTTTGGAAGGTACTTTCAAAAATGGGTCCAATTTTTTGGTTAAACATAGTCCTCGGATAGTGTAAAAAACCCTTAAGAGAATGGTACAGGTCTCATGTTCACTGAAATCCATTGTTTTGAAAAAGTTCACATTTCAAATTTACGAAATTGAAGATTTATATTGTTGCCTGAGACAAAACTTGTTCCAAACAGTTATCTCTTTAAAAAAAGGTTCATATACAGTTTCTTGAAAAAATAACGAGTAGTTTTCGGGTAATTTTGGGCTTGAAATAAATGCAATTTATAAGAAAAACCATTTTTCTCTCAATTTTTTTCCACAGATAGAAGAAGGGACGCTTAAAAGAATGTCGCGGGGTGCATTTACTTTGAACTCCCTGAGTTTTCGAAAATTGAAAAATTTAGAAATAAAGAGAAAGTATGTGCTGTTGTTGCACCACTAGTTTTGATATCTCTTACCGATTTTTAGTTAAAATGCTTTTCTCAAAACATGTAGTAAAAAGGTTTTTCGAAGGTATAAAAGCACTTTTTAAATTTTTTTAACTTCTTCTTTAATGCGTTTCATGTTTCGTACGTAATACACAAACATGTTCTAAACACTTAATTTTATCTTTACAACTCAGCAATACTCACATACTGTACAGGGTAATAAGTAATTAGAGATTTTTATAGTTGCAACAAGATGTCGTGCAGAGAAACCTGCAATGTCACAAAGATAGGCTACTAGGTAATCAGCTTGTACTTCCTTTAAAAGATACTTGGTAGACTTAGTTAATATGTTAAGTAAGTAAATTTCGTCTAGTCTAATGGCTTTTAAAAGGAATGTATTCCATTTTAATGAGTTACTTTTAATATTATAATAATGATTGTTTTCATTGTTCTTTGATATCGCATCCACTGGTTGTTACACGGTATTAGTATTTTCAATCATTTTGCTTAATTTGTAATTTATTATTTTCTGAATTGAACTGACACCATGTAACGTTATGTAATAATAAAAAATACACGGTTATTAATTTTTTGCAGCTATTTTACATGGACACGTGAGACGTAATACCAAAGATCGACCTCTGTGTACATATAGATTAGATTAGATTAGATTTATTCACTCAAAAAACAGTAAAAACTGTATGTGACGTAGGGGGGAGAAGATTATCTGCGTACGTTTTCTTGAGTTCCAGAATTCCATCCCGTCATTTTAACTATAAATATTTGGAAGATGTGTAAAAGTTTAACATAAATAAATAAAAATAAATTTTAAAAATCGCTAGATTAGCAAAATTTGAAAAGTAGTCATTTGCATTTCTGAGTTATAGAAAATTTATGTGAATCGGTACACGAATTACAAGTATGATTTTCTGCATTGCTAACAAAATAGCAACTCGCCCTTTCCTCTACTCTTACCATTACAATCAAAAAGAGAGTTCAACAAAACGTGCCCATAGTGAAGCTACATTTATGTTCAGAAGCAAAATAAGTGGCCATCTCAGCATTTGCTCAATAGATCAGGGAAACTGGACAAAAACCTGATCGAGATGGGGGTTATTGACCCGGAAGCTGAAGTACATTATTTGTTACAAACATATTAAGTCTTTTAAAAAGTTTATACAATACAAATGTAAAGTAATTCATTACATTTCACTGTTCTGTTAAAACAAACATTATTTTTCTTCTTGATAATCACTACAGGCTCTAATTGTAAAGAAACAGTTATGCTTTCAGAGCAGAAAAGATTTTACTTTTAACTTAAATTTGTGAACCGACTTCAATTGTTTAATGTCATCTGACGTGCGTTGTAAAGTAACGTACATGTATTGTATTAGCCACAATGTTTTAGTCAGTAGTACTAACATTGTCAAAGTTGCATATAACATCAAATCTGTTTCAGGAATTCCAAGATCGCTGCTTGAAAATCACTAAGGCAACAGAGAAATTGACCCTTGGAGGACACTTCGCGGGAGAACAAGCAACAATTCAAGCGTATGCTGTCCTTAACGCCTCTGTGGAATATTTGGAAGCATTAGAAGAGCGTGATGCCTTGCTGAAACAATCTGTTGCTTTCTTCCGTTCATCTCGCACGGTACGTAACCTCAGTTAATTGTTTCTCTTCTCTGTTTAAAATGTCAGCGAAGATGCGTATGTCTCTTTATATATTTCCCCTAATAACTAGATGTTATACCAAGATAACATGTGACTTTTACAATCCACATTTTTGCAATCTCCTTCCGAGATTTTTTTGTACCCACGTTTTAAAATGGATGACAATTGTAGCTGGCTTTGTAATAGCACTATTGTTATGGGCGATGGAAAGCAATTTTATCATGCAGGAAATCCGAAAAACAAGATACTATTGTCAAAGCAATATTCTATCGTCATGTACTATAATTATATATGGTCGCGACTGCTAAACAATTCATAATGGAATATCAACGGACAAATAAAATATTTCATATCCTACGTCGCATATTCCAATTCTTATCCAGGAGACCTGTGTAGACTTACGTGCCATGTATTAAATGTTAATGATTTTCATTTAATTCCCTAATAAGTATTTTGAGATAATAGAGTACTGTTGAGAAATATTTTATGACACTTATAATGGCTTAGAAATATAATTTTCACTTAAGATACATACGTGCTAGCGCGATTATTTCCGTTACTAAATGTGACGCGAGTACTGCAGAGTTAAGAAAGGTTGCACAGAATGTCTAAGTTGTCATTTACACGTCTCATTTTCATTCGTGTTCGCTTCGTTTCCCCAGTACGAATTAGTGATTCCTCTCGCCGCTATCCACATTTACTTTCCAAGACAGAACACGTGTTACGCACGCGTCAAAGGTAAGCTTCACACAAAATACTAATTGTAGGATCCGCACTCTCACTCTGGAGCTCCCACTTTCTCAGCCGGCGCGAAGACTGGGAGGCGATTGGGCAGCGGGAGCGACAGGCCGCTGGCGAACAGTGGCAGCGCGCAGCGCGTCGAGTTCAGCGTGACTCTGAAGAAGCGAAAAATATGAGTTGGCAGAAAATCGATTTGCTGATGCACTAATAGTTCGTGTTTCAAGGGCGTTGTCAAGTTATTTAAGAAGAAAGATCAATTAACGTGCTGCGTACAAAATCTGATGCATTACTAGTTCCTGAAGGAATCAAACGATAATTCAAAATTTATCTAACTACTATCGAAAGTATACTTGTGTGTGCTACAGAACACATAATTTCCTGTTACGTCACATTATTAGACTACACTTTCTAACCTACAAACACATCTGTCATTTCTCGTAAAATGCAAAAGATATTACTTACAATTACGCGAAAAATATTATTATTTTGAAAAAAAACCCCACCTGTATGATATTAATTAAAGTCCTTTAAAGTTTATGTACACTAGTGCCTCTACAACGTCACTTTCTTCAACGATTCAATTTTAATGGTTACGTAATATTATAATACTAATTGAACTCGTCGAAATGTTTCCAACCCACAAATGGTTTGAATGTAATCTCAAATTTTATTTTGAGATTTCATTAACGTTGAAAAATACGTTTCATGAGAGAATATGTGATGCCCAGCTGCTGACTCCAATGAGTCGTGGATGGTGGAAAGAAAATTATGCCGTGGGCACAATACAAACCATAAGACTCTTAAGATAGTATGATTACCTTGGTATTCCAGTAACAAATACACTTTGTCTTCTCAAGCCTTTAAATGGTAAATGAAGTGTTTAGCCAAATAAAGAAAGTTTTATGTGATCAACCATTATGGGAACACTTATACGTACGGGCATTCTTTTGCAAATGTAGGAACATCTTTTTCTGCGGAAATATAAACGTTTGCAGAATCTAGCCCCCAGGAGCATTCAGGCTACACATGACGGTTATTATTTTCCCACCCTTCAAACTAATCACGGAGTCAAATCTTTTGACTTTCCCGCCTTAGTACGTGCTTATGCTGTAAAGAGAAAGTTTGTAATGCTGTGGCGGAAATCCGCGACGTTCGACAGAACAACTCTTCTTGCCGGGCTCTCATGACGAAAAGGTGGATAAATCTTGTACCTACATGTAGTAAAATACTTCCTCTAACACTTTCAGTAGAGAGATTCCACGTTTTTAAGTCCTTGGCACCGAAAACTCTACTGCCAGGAGAACGTCCGTCTGTCCGCTCCTCCGCTTGTTGTCAATTCTAGGGTCTAACCCGTTTAGACGATTTTCTTCCAAACTGACATTCCACGATAGATGTACACGAATAGTACCCTGCATGTCCCTGCATGTCACGATTAATTGCGTCATCACATATTCAGCCAATCGCAGAGATGGGGATCGTGGGGATGTAGTGGTAAATGGAACAGCCGACCAGCGTTTTCTCGCACACGTCAAATACCCGAGTCGTCACAATAAATTTGTTTCCCAAAATTAAGTTTGGTCTATTATAATTTTATAATATTTATACAAAAACATAGGATATGACGTTGACTTAAGGAGGTTGTCACATTATGACAAAAATAAGATTAAACGTTGCAACTGAAATTTATCAAAAGATAAGATGTTTTTACACGTTTTCTCAAAATAAAATAAAAAAACAATTCTAAGGTGTAGTTTAAAATACAATATCATTTGAAAACTTACATTATAACACGCAAAGTACCTCATCCGATCATAAATAAGTAAATATGAAACATTTATACATATGATTACATAAAGGGGAAATGTTATAAATAAAGAACCTTTCTAAAGTGAAAAGATTTGGAATGAAAATATATTACCGTGTAGTTTGGACTAGAACACAAAGAGAAAATAACTGTCATCAGTTTTTCGTAAGAACGAAAAAGCGCGGCAACGTTGCCTGACGTTCCAATCTGCGGTGATTTTAAATATTGAGAAACTGACGGCTGGTTTGTGGGCATTGTTTTGTGAGCTGACATGCTTATACGGGATAATTTATGGTAAGTAATGAAATATTTTAATGGATTACGTGGATGATCCTCCACTGCCTCCTGGGCCTTTACCCTAATCTCATATGTAGCCTAATGCAGGATTTTTACATGTTCTGCAAATCACCTTGGAACTCCCACCTAGCAGTGAGGGAAATGTGTGTTGTTGAATATGGTATGGTCTTCTTTTTATTTTGTTGAAAGAAGAAAGAAAAAACATGAGTGTAGCGTACAGTACCCAAGTCGGAACTTCCCGACAACGTAAACCATTGGTACCAATATGATATATATATATATATATATATATATATATATATATATATATATATATATATATATATATATCATATAACGTTGCCACTTTTATTGCCTGAAAGGTATCAGTTCTCTGAAGGAGTTAATTACGATTTAAAGATATTATTCTTGAAAAAAACATTTACATAATATGTAAGAAGTGTCCTACTGATACGATTACTGAAGTTTGAAGAGAAATGCCGTCATACATAAACGTAGATTATTGAAGTAAACTCAGCATTGCATGTTGTCATTTCAAATCAAACTAGTTTCTTAGATTGGATTTGTAAAATAATTAACACTTTTTAATTCGTCATTAAAAAACAGTCGTTTACCAATCGACGAAAAATAGAGAAATAATTTACTTGATACTCGTTCTTCATTTCTTATCAAGCATGTTCCAAAACTACAACTTTTCGTTCAGCTGACTAGAGAGTAATGTGACAACCTCCTTAACCAAGGGATGCAGCCGAAAGGCTGATCTCCATAATTCCACACGTTGATTTCTCCAGGATAGAATACAACTGGGCCTCGGAAAGAGAAATATGTTACGTGGTCAATAAGTGACCCGAGGAACCTGCAGGTTCGAGTCCTGCGTAGTCAGTATTATGATTGTCCTTTCACTGCTCATCATCATCCTCTCATCTCATAATTCACACTTCAAGGCGCAACAACCTTTTCGTAGTGAAGGAAGCTGATTCTGAAAAAATAGACACGTTAATCCTGTAGCCTGGTCAGTGATGGCCAATACCTTATAATAATAATAATAATAATAATAATAATAATAATAATAATAATATCAAGATAAATATCAAGAGAAGATCCAGAAGTATACCAATCTCGCCTATGAAGTCGCAACTCAGTGGAACTTCAGTAAAGTGACGACTGTGTCTATAATAATATCAGCTACGGGAGTTATCCCGAAAATGACACTTCGGGCACTGGAGTGTCTTCACTTGGATACCAGGAATGTATATAATATGCAAAAGACAGTAATTTTGAATACATGCCGTATTGTCAGAAGCCATCTGAACCTTCAGTAAAGCAACCACACACCTGGTCATCATACCTGTGTGTGGTTGACATACCGACCAGTAGATACTGTGAATAATGTAAGACAATAATAATAATAATAATAATAATAGTAATAAAATAGCGTTTGAAACTAGTTAATAATGCTTTATTGCATTTGTTGAAATTTGAGAACTCGCTCGTAACGCCTCCCGCTTTCAAAATGTCATGCAATAAACGTTAACATTATAAACGAATTGCATAGACTGCTATTAACTGTTTAAGAATTTCTCTTCTACGTATGCTGACGTTTCTTTTTATTTCCAGGCTTTGACGAAATTGGATCAGCTTGAAATTCAACTGACTACTACGGAACATTCTCTAACAAATTCGAGTTTGGTTCAATTGCATTTCCAAGTATCTAAATCTTTGGAAGAAATTACATCCCAACCATTACAACAAGGTTACTCTCTCTTGGAGGCTGTTGGCCAGAGTTCCCCAGGTGCACAGGTAAGATGCATTTGTAATTTCTTCAAACTTTACTTTTCCTATACCATTCAATTTTTTCTTACCATTTTAATATAATTTTAATAGAGCAAATATGCGAAATATTTAAGATATAATTCGGCACATTGACATTCAGTTAATACAGTTATTTTTTTGTACTATAATACTATAATTCCATGATATATACTAACATTATATTTCTTACTTTTTCAACTCAAAATAGAGATTGTTTTATATTCTTATAATCATTTTTGACATATAGATAAAATGGCGTCTATGAATGAATTGTACATTTTCTAGTATTTCATATCTTATTATTACACACCTCTTTCAGTTTTATTTAACCAAATCTGTATATAAACGTTTTTGTGATGCTTGTTGCAGGGCGTGAAATGTACTGTGCAAGAGCTAGAAAATAGAAAGATTGGATTAGACAATTTATGTACAGCGCACAAAGAAGAAAATATACATCTCTCAAAAGCATTTACTACATTTTTAGAACGGCAAAATGAAGTAAGTAATTGTGTGATGTAAATGTGGGTTTAACATTTGTTACTGTTGTGCAATCGTAATTATTTTTCGACGCTTATTATTCAGGAGACAAGCAATTACAAAACAATTTTCGATAATTCAGTTTCTCCGAAACAATGGTGTATAAAATTGATCATGAAACTTGTGGGTACTCAATTGGCAACTTTAAAATGTGAATCATTTATGTTCTCAAATTTTGTTGTCCATATCCCGAATCATATCAGAAGGTCGGCTAGAGTGTGTCACATCATGCAAATTACCCGTCCGTCTTTGACTTTCTCACTTCGAACTTAACTGTCTCATTTTCACCATAAATGTCACAAATGAAATGGTGAATTTTTGCTGCTACCAAATTTCTTGTATTCAAAAATTGAATTACATATCGTATCTTACAGTCACATGGCGACTCAATTTTCTTAAAAATGTTTAAAACGACTACAGCTCAGTACATACACGATACGAGTGCAAATGGCGTTCAAACATGCGCAAAGCATGCTGGGAGCAGACGCAAATACCCACTGCGATGAACGTCCGTTATTCTTACTCTCATTCTCAAACGAACCTCGTTATATTTTTCTTTGTATGGCTAAACTGATATTCGAGTGAGATAAAAAAAAGTTTCTACCAACAGAACACTGCCGATTAACATGCAAACATACAAACCAAATTCAACACTCACATCTGAAACAATATTTTTGATATACCTGCTTCCGTATTGATACTTGAGACCTCGTTGTATACACATTTTTCAATCTTACAGTTAGTTCGTTATAAATTCATATACGTTCATATTTCGGACGTCAGAAATTCGCCAATAATTCGGATTCAGTGAGAGCGAATAAAATTGCAGGAACTACAACCACTACTCAGTTCCACAGACGGGTGTGCCAAAATAATAAAATTGTTAACAACTACAAAAATGTATAACCTTATATAGCTGATTAATGTAATAGATTAAACGTACATATTGTGTAAAATGTGATTAAATGTAACAATTCTGTTCATGTAATAATTGCAACCTTTATGTTTATACATACAATTATACAATAACAGGAGTCGCTGATGACCTAGATGTTATAAAGCGACCATAAATAAATATTTTTTTTAAAAAATTGCAGAATGTGAATACTGTACGTATCTAAAATTTTCAACCTTAAGATGATTCAAGAGCTAAAAGTGTTTCCATTAAATTCAACGAATGACTAGTGCGAGTCTCCTCGACTACGCACCCGAAGGAACTCGAGATACAGATAAACCTAGAAGAACATGCCAAGTGGTGATAGAATAGGCACATTTGTCTTCACTTTGATGATAATGATGAGATTTTAATGCAGAAACTGCATCTGCTTGTGATGCCCAACTAGTCGTAGTCTTTATATACTGAGGTTTCACAAATGTATGCATATTCCAATCAAGTGAAAAATTGTGTTAACATAACTAAGCTGAATTCATGCAAACAGCAAATGATGAGCAATAATTACAATATCTTAAGCTTTTATAGGTATAAAGGTTATATCAGATGCTCAAAATTGCAAATATTCGCGTCGATACACTTCGGAATACGTTGAACTACTGTTTGAGCAACGTTTGCAAAAGTGTCCTCAACGATTGCAGCACATGCCGTTTCAATTTCTACGGAAATGCTACATGTGTATGTGGTTTTCAATGGTATACATCTTGTTGGAAGTAAAATTCTTCATTTCCATGGAGTGCACGAATTGAGGGTATGACGAATGTGCGGCATACCATGTCCAGGTACACTTCGCCAATAAATGTTCCTTCAAAAAAGAATGGATCAATGAGACTACCATATGAAACCCACACCCAACATTAAGTTCAGTTAAATTAACAGCATTTTACACAAAACATGTGGATCATCAGAAGACAGTTATGCCGGTAATCAGTTCCGTTCAACTTAAATAACGCCTCATTGGACAAAACCACTTTACTTACGAAACCCTGATCCCGTTTAACCATGTTTCGAAAACAGTGCATTGCATTCTGCAATGAGGGCCATCATCATTTAATGCTGCCAAAATCTTGAGATGGAAACTTTCAACTATGCTGTTTTAATGATACGACGTATGAGGTTTCTGCTAGTCTCAGTCTCTCGTGCACATTGCTTTGAAGAGTCTTGCAGTGAGTGCTTAAAACGTTCCAAATCCATAGACGAGGGCGTAGGGCTTGTTACTGACCGAGGTCTCCCAGATGTGCTCTTCTGAACATCGCGTACGGTACAAAACAATTTAATATGTCATGAATGCATGCAATTATTACTTGCGTTGGTGGTTCTGTTCCATACACATGTCTCCATTGGCATTGGACTTGAACAACTCTCTTGGCTCTCCAATATCCCTTCACAATTGCTTTCCGCGTTTCAAACAATATGTTTGATTTAGCCATTTTTATATAGCTGATGATGAGGTTCCTTTTTGATATAGCAACTCTAGCGGACGTAATTTGTGTCACACCGGTTTACAGAACATCATTAAACCTTTTATTCTGCTGTTGGTATGGGCGCTTGCAACAATATGGCTTCATTTTGTTGACTGTTGATCTGTCGCGCAGCTTGGATTCATTTTGTGCATTGTTTGATTGATCTAAACCGTAGTAATGCTGACATAACGTATGTATCACCTGTTTGCAGAACATCATACTAAACATTTATTGTTTTCCGGTCAAACTTCGAAATATGTTCCATAAATACATCCTTTTAAAGTGTGAATGCATTTTATTAACGTTTCTGGAGAAATTGATCTTTAGATATCAAACCAGCAGAGAAATGCATCACATGCCATTTCTGTGCGAAGTACTATGTTTGGAAAGTGTTCTCTATATAAAGAAAGGAACCACCAGCTAGAAAAGTCCAATAAACGCACATTCTTCCTGTTAGAAACCAGTTTGCAATGATAATTCTTACACAAGGACTATTTGTGAAAGCACTTAAAGTATGTCAGAAATCATGCATGAGTGTTGCTACCGATGGATTTTTAAAATTGTATTTAGCCATGATAAGCCCCGTAAATGGCAATTGGCTTCGGTGCCGTTAGATCCCGGAGTTCCTAGTCTGTCAAAATGAGTAAGTACTCCTGAGCAATTGTTCACGAGTACAGGTAGGAACGACTACTTCTTATAGGCAATTGCTTCTTTTCGTATGAGTAAGATGTTTCATGGATCTTGCAGCATTTACTTCTGTCTCTGAGTGAATTGCTCACTAACTGGTCTGTTGCTATTGGTCGATTTTCGACTGTTTTGTTTGTCTACGTTACCGCACGACACGTGCTTGTTCCTGATGGTGTCGACCGTATTAGGCGAGGTGCATTGTTTGCCAAATCGTAGGAATTCTTCCAGAATTCTTTTACTCACTACCGAAAACATCACAACAGTTGTGTATACCCTCTCTTCTATTCATTCAAAACTATTTGAGGCACCTGCAGAGGTTGCCCCGGAAATTCTAAGTAAACGCTTCGTACTAGAAGCAAATTCTCGATTTTATTCACACGAAAAGTAAAAAATTGCTTCTCGACCGAGTACGTACTCATCAATGGAGAAAGCGGTCAAGATAAGAGCAATTACTCACGTCCTTTATTCAGACTGTTTGAAGAAATTGCTTTGAAAACTTGAGGAAGAAGTAATAGCTCATTTTTATTTGTATCACTCAATCACTCGAATTCGCTTAACCTTCGTGACTTCGCGTAGTTAACAAATTCGGCTAGCGACGGCTAGTGTAAAATCTTTGGGTTTGACGACATTTTGTTTGTGTGCCTGTGTAATAGGCTTACATAACCGATGAAGTTAATACGAGAAATTGTGTGATGTTGTGGCGTCATCAGTTTCTTTCTCGTATACTAGTACATAAGGAGTGTATATGTATATGAAAGTTATGTAAAGCTGCAAAAAATCGATGTCACCGCTGTGAAGGAAGTACTTACTGGTCGCTGATACAGAAAATTGAAACGCTTTTATTTTCAAAAATATTTGTACGCGTGTATTTTCTATAATTCCCGCGCTTCGTTTGGTGGAGCGAGTTTTGCAAGATACGACTGAATAGTCAGTAGGGCACAGGTTTCAATATTATAATATGTAGACTCACAATGTAATCCTTAATGTATTTATTTATTTCAGCTCTACTCTTGGCTTGTGAGTATTGCTGAAGCATTTCTCCAGGGGCATCAAGATTTGGGAAGTGTTTTGGCAATGGCTGATGACTTTCTTCAACTACATCAACAGTTATTGAAGGATTTACAGGTACATTGTTTTACATTTTAAGAACATAATACAATAAATGTAGATTGAAAATGCATTAGGTAAAAGCAGAAACTATACTCATGTTTCAATAAATATCATCCACACCTTTGTTGTGTTTGTTCTTGGTATTTGATTTATCCCAGTGTTTGGTGATTTTTTTCAGAATAAAGGGATTGAAATTAATGAGGTCTTGTTAACGCTGCCGCCAATATTAGAAAAACTTAATGATGATCAGCGTGCAGACATTGACGAAAAAGTGGATACATTACACTCACATTGGCTAAATCTAAAAACTATACTTGAATCTCGCATAGACCTTGCATCTTTGTACGTCAAATTTCATTCCCTTGCTGCAGAACTTACTAATGAATTTGATACAATTGAAGTCGAATTTAGAAAGGGAACTGATAACGAAGAAGAAGACATGATGAGTCGTATTGAACAGAAATGGCTGTATATTCAGCAAATGACTGGCCAGTTAACAAATTTGGGAAAATTATTCATTGAAGAATCTTCAAAGGTAAAGTATACATTAGCATGCCGTTAGTTGGAAATTGCATGCTGATCTGTTATATTAAAAATTACATTTTACAGGATGTGAGATGCGTTTTAGAATATCGACTTACTCACACTTACTTACTTACTTACACTTAATCGACTTAAAATTAAAATTGATTAAAAGATTATAATTAATGTTCCTCATACAATTATTAATTATCCATTTTAGAAAGACAAAAAATGATGTTATAACGTTTTTCTTTGAAATTAAGAAAAGTTTGTAATGTATTTTGAATGTTTGTTTTCTGTTTGTACGGGATAAACTCTGGAACGGGTAAACCGTTTTCACAGAGAGGTGAAGTGTTTTTGCTGGCATAATTTAGGCTACTTTCTTTCAATTATAATTGTCGGTTCTATAAAAATTAATGCTTGTTTTTTCATACAAACTTATAGGTTTATTACGATCATAATAAAATGTATTCATGACTTCCAAAACTAGAGAATGCATGATATTTCGTAAAACTACCCCATCTTCCGGTCTTAACCTTCAAAGAAAAACTTACGTGTGGACTCTTTCAGTTTTTTGCAAACATTTTGTAAATTGACTGAAGTGAATGAAACGTTGCTTAAAGCCCATTACATGTCTTCCTACATGCTTTTTAATTTGTTCCTATACGTTAATAAGGATATTTTCAAGTTCCAAATTTTTTTTGGCAGTTTGCCGACAGTAAGCAACAATGCATGCTTACTGCTCCCAAAGAAACGATGGTGGTAGCAACAGTGATGGTAGCAAACACATCGGGGCGTGACTGGGCGCTGCAAGTATTACACAGGGTGTTGGGGCGGAGCAGGGTGAAGATGAAAAGGGCGGGTAGGATGAGTTTAGGTGAGATCTGGGCGAAACTGGGCGGGGCAAGTGATGCAGGAAGAGTTGGTGCGTGCAGCGAAAAGAGGAATAGGGTGACCTAGATAGGTATAATTAGGATGGCTCTGGGTGAGATCGGGCGGGACTGGGGAGGGGCAAGTGATGCTGGAGGGGTTGGGGCGGAACAGCGTAAATGGACAGGATGGTCGGGTGGAACTGGTGTTGCACTGGGTGAGAGCGATCGGAACGAAGAGGGGGAGGAGGCGCAAAGGGGGATGGGCGGATTGGCATACGGAGGGAGTGGGTGGAGCTGGTCCTGTGGGGCGGAACAGAGTGGGATTGGGCGAACAGGGTAGAGACAGCGCGGCAGGCAAGGATGGATGAGTTTCTATTCATGTGTCCAAGAAGGAAAGATTGAAACTTCAAAAGTAAGTTTTAACGTCTATTTTCAGCCAAGCGTACCCCCGGATAAGAGGGTAAAATTCCCCCTCCCTTAACTAAATGACATATGAGTACTTCACTCTAACAAAAAATAATATTTTTGAAAGGTTTCTTAGTCTCCATCCCACCACCCACACACAACTACAGCCAAAAACGTGATTTTTTTTGCCAACATAACACTATTTTATATGACTGGAAAAAAGAAAAATAAGGTAATAATTTATAATATCGTAAATTAGTTTTTGGTTTTTTCTCAGCGCCAAATTGAAACAAACACGAGAAAATATTTTTGAAAAATATAACAAAAAATAATTTGTACTGTTTCTTAGAACCCTGGAACAGGTTCAGGAAAAAATCTTAAAAATTCGCCTCAAAACACAAATTCTGAGTTTTTTGACTCTTTGGTGTGAGTTGAAATAAAAAAAAATTTCACCATTTTCCCACATTTAAGTCACCGTGATTTTAAACATACTTTGAAAATGACTGCAACTGGTCTATGCATTTATTTGTGTTTATTATACATTTTTGTACATTGTATTACCACCCAGTAATATTCTGACTTTGAATTGTAATTAGAAATTATCATGTATCAGCTTTCTAATCATTTGTATATTATACGCTAAGGCAAGTCGATAGTTTTTAGTAGTTTATGAGAAAATATTTCGGTGACAGATAAAGGATAAGTAAGGGATATGTGGGGAATTGAAGGGAACAAATTTTATCCAAATTTACGGCACGCAAAACATCTTCCTTCCTCTCAGAATTCTTATGATTTTTTTTCTGATTTTTTTCAATTGTTAGACCGTAGTTAAAAAACTAAGGCATTTGAAGTCAAGTACTTGGCTGTTCAGGAGACGCTGTGTGCTAGGCACCTGCGACCTTCCTCCAGGAGGAAGGTCACAGAATGGCGGCTGAAAAGTTGGCACCTGTGTCTAGGATGCGGCGTCTCCCCAACAGCCAACTAGTTACTGACTCTGGCCGCTGACGCCTACGGTCTAACATCTATAGTTTATTCAGATTAGAGCAAAAGTGTTTTCACTTACCTAAGTATTTATTCTTATATAGTATAAATAATAAATAATATAGTAATAATAAATGAACAATCCGGACACGGGAAAACTCTGCACTTTTTAAATAAAAATTGTATGAAAACTCAAAATTCATACAATTGATTTCCCATGATGTAGCACCCATCTGCAAGCGCCCATCCACCGAAATGTAGTTTACAGCAATAGGGCTGGTACTGTGTAAGAAAAACCATTCCAATATTGCTGAGCGTTGCAATTAAAATGACCTTAATTTTATCATAAAAGATCATTTTACATTTATTTCTGCTGTTGCTCTTTCGTAGAAGTTGCTCTTTTGTAGAAATGCTATTTTGTAGAATACCGTCTAAGAACATAATCCGTGTCCAATCTGCCCCCCGTCTATTTATCCACTGTCCCTCGTTTATCCTTCACCTGCACCCGAACTGTCCCTCGTCATTTCCTCATTTGTCACCTACCCGTCCCTCGAAATACGTCATCTGTCAGAAAAGTCGTGTCTGTACGGGACACGCAAACCTGGTTTAAAATGCCTAGGCCCTATCGCATCCGAGTTATTCGCGATCGTGTTGCAATAATCGTGTTTTTTTGTTGGTTTGCCATTATCTGCAAACTTCAATTTTTTATTCTGAAATCTGCTCTATGTAGAACTGAGGTGTAATTATCTATTCACCAGTATCACACTTACAAGGTTTTGTCGATATTTTCTTATATATGGTCGATGGTAGTAAAAAATATTTTTTTATGTTTGAATTTGGCGCTGACAAAATATCAACAAATATTTTTCTGTTAGGAAAAATTATTTTATTATTTTGCATATTTTGTCCATCATTAATTCTTTTTTTGGCAGTTTTCGAAATAACCACCACCGACTGCAATATAAAAGTGAGACTTTCGAGTTTCGGGGGCTATTTGATTCAAGTTTCTCTGTCACGCGATCTGCGGAGTATTAACAATTTCACTTCTACAATGAACAAAATTAATTATGCGAATATGGTTTATGAACTAAATGTAGACTATGTGTTTATAATAAATTTTTACTTCGAACAAATTGAAAGTAAAGTTTTAGTTTTGTCGTTTCCTCCTTGATAACCCGGTATGTGTACGTAATATTCATATATACCGATATATAGATGGATAGATTGATAAAAAGCAAAGTTCAAGGATATCGATAGATGACAGAATTGTGTGTATGTGTGTGTTTTAATTGCATTAATCCTTATATGCAGATTGGAGATCCCTACCTGGATGTAAAGCGCGCTTCCTTGTGTGTTGAAACTCTGCTAGAACATTTTGCCAATAGACAACTAGTAATTACACAATCTTGGGGAACGTGGCAAACAACCATCACAACTGAGCGTGAATTTAATGTTCTCTGGGAACGAAACATCAGAGAAAGTGACAGGGTAAGTAAATACACTATTTATCTTCTCTTCTGTATCTACTTAACAGAATATCTTAGAACTGTAACTTACTGCCAATATTGTGCACCTTTTTACTTCTCTCCATTTATAAAAAGATTTCTTCATGTTGGACTTTAGACGTTGGCTGTAATCTGCTGGATTTTGAGTTAATGGTTTCTTGGTAGGTGTGACTGGTATTAAATGGTAACTAATACATTAAAAGTAATTGATACAATCAATATCATTTTCTGTACTTTCTCACTACCGCTTACGCAGTAGGGAGAAAGTTTTGTAATGCTGCGCAAAACATGGTGAAATTTCAACAGAAAAATTCTTATTACAGGGCCTTAGTAACAAAAAGTGTATAAATCCAGTTGCTAAATTTTGTAAAAAATCATCTAACATATTGTATCCAGAATCTATGTTTTGTGGGTCCTTGATACCTAAAAATTGAATGACCGTAAAACATCTGTCTGTCTGTCTGTTCTGTCCGTCCGTTCCTCCGTGTGTCCGTCTGTGAACAACGCTAGCGGCTAAACCGTTCAGCCGATTTTCTCCAAAATTGATATTCCCCAATCGATCTGGCTGATGTCGCGGCCCCTTGAAGTTGAAACCAATATTTTAACTTTGGAGGTACTTTACGTGAAGCCCCTGGGACATTTTTAAAATTTTCAAAAAATAGGTCCATTGTTTTTTATAAAATTTTGTTGTTGAATATTATGAAAGACATTTAAGAGAATGTTGCAGGTCACATGTTCGTTGAAGACCCTGATATTTTGAAAACTGCAACTATTCAAAATTTTTTCGCTGTTTTTCCACAACTGCAATTATGAACATAGAAATGTTTCCCAAAAGGAAAGTACGTGCTGTTTTAGCACTTCTAGTTTTACTAAGTATTGTCTCTGTATAGAAACAGTTATACATCAGAAACGATTTTACTTGGCACTTCAACTTCGTTAATTCGATTTCGATTTTAATCGTTTAATGTCCTCTGCCAATATATTAAATAATATAGTACATATATTGAATGTGAATTTTTTGTAGTGAGCTGTTGATACTGACTTTTGATGAATATGATTTTCACGTCGAATATTATAGATATCTTTATTGACTGAAAATACGACGTTTCCACTCTTGAATACCTTATTTTTGACTAACACCAGTCAATTGCTCATTGTTAATTTTCAATGAAGACTACATTAGTTTATTTGAAATGGAATACGACATAGAAAGCATTTTCCCTTCATTTAGTAATAATTTGTTATTATGAAACCAATTTGAAACATTGGATACTGTAATATTTACTATTTTTGTATTGCCAAGAAAACTCTAATCAGATAAGAAAACTGTTCTTACGTTTCGAACCGACGAGGGCATGCCTTTTACGTATAACAGAAAGTGAATAGAACCTAAAATCGAACACTACGGGACCCCATATGCAATTAGCAACGTATTGAAAAGGAGAGTAAATTATGACCCTTCAGTCCGATCCGGTATTTCGCCCTTCTGTGAAAGTACAAGGTACAATAATATTTAATTTAGGGCAATAACTCTATTTCTATATAAAGGTAATTTTGAAACTAAAACATTAAAATTAAATAACCTCAAATGCTTTTGAAAGATCTAGAACTCCTCTAGTAAGTTCTTCACTTTGATCCTTTGATGAAGGAACAGTATTGTTGTTTTCAGTAGATTCTCATGACCTAAATCTATGTCAACAATAATATTTTTGAAAATATTGACAAAAGAGAAATTGGCCAATCATTTTGAATTTCATTTTAATTGCCTTGTTAAACTAGTGGTGCACATACTTTCTACGTTTCTAAATTTGCAATTTTCGAAAATTTAGGGAGTTCATTGCAAATCACTAATCGGAAATGACTAAAAACTATTAAAAATTTTGCTTATCTAATATATTACCATATTTGTAACATTAGATTCGTGTACATACGCCTGGCATGGTAGACTCAAAAATATATAAGATTCCACTTGAAAAAAAAGTTACCTCAGTATCTCGTAAACTACAAACAAAACTGCTATTTTGCTACAACAGCATATACTTTCTCGCATTATTTCTAATATTTGCTATTTTTGAACTTCAAAAGGTTCAACGAAAATGAGTCCCATGGCATTTTTTAAAGTAATGTTTACGCTATCGGAGGACAAAGTTAATTCAAATATCGATGCCTTTTTGACCATATTTTGAAAATGCTGAGTACCCCAAAAAATCGAATTATCGTTTCAAACTCGCAAGGCTTCGAATTCGTTTAGATGATGTTAAAAAAATTGAGTTAATTCACGGTAAAATCAATTAATCAAATTATTTGATTTAAATATTCGACACTATCTAGAAGTGTAGTAGATTTAGAGTTAACCGGAATGGGACCTGTGTCATTTATTAAGCCTTCTTTGCTCTATTTGAGAAAGGAATAGTCAATATTGTAGTGTAGGAAGACGCAGAAAACGTTTTGAACAATTTGCAATTTTCGAAAATTCAGAATTTAACGACAATGTAAGCGTTCTACATTTTGTAAGCGTGTTTTCTATATCCGAGAAAATAAATTAATCCAATTATTTGAAGTAATTTTTCAGAAAATTTTGAAAATGTGTCTAAATTTAAAGTATCCCTTAAAACCAAAATATCATTTTCAAAATCTCAGAGCTTTGAGTTCGTCTACATCGAACGGGGATTATCAATTTTGGAGATAATTGTCTGAAATGTTTTGGCATGGTATTGGCATTATTAAATACAGACGTCGAGACGAAGAGCTATGCTGGCGTTTTGCCGTAAACCAATTTTTCGGTGTCAAGAACACACGAAAGTGATTTATAATTAAACAATATGTTAGATGAAGTAATTCACTACATATTTGAACAAGAATTATCCACTTCGTTGTTACCAAGGCATTTCATTATTGGTTTTTCTGATGAGAATCGCCACTTTTCCCAGCAACATTACCATACTTTTGCTTTCCTACATACGTAGGCGAGAAAGTGAAAGGAAATCAATCAAGGACTCATTTCATTCATAGTTTTATATTTGCTTTTGTATCATATTAAATATTTTCTTAAAATACCAGTTTACACTAGCAGGGCACACCCAGGGTTTTTATCGGAAGGAGTTACATTTGTAGAAGTCCAGCTGGCATGATATTTTTTAAAGGAAGTTTTCATTTTCTAGTGAATATAAAATGTATTTTTTTAATTGCTAATTACAGTTAATAGTTCTAATGTAAACAATTGGTATGTTGAATGTCTTTGAATAGTACAGAACATTGCTGGATTTTGTAATTAGATTCTAAATGACTCAATCCCCTTGAGCCTCCTCCTCCTTGGGTATATGATGAGACCTATATATTAATTAATTTATTTTCATTACTTGCAGATCATGGAATGGATATCTAAAATTCATTCTCAGTTATATCCTGTTCTGACCGGAGAAAGTACAGCAGCAAAAATTATTACCAAGGAATTGGAAGAAAAATTACGAACTATCATGCCAGAATTGAAGAGAGCACAAACAGAGATTGAATTGAGAGTGAAGACTGCTGAAACGTTGGCAATGAAAGGTATGACAAAGTAGTCTATTTGGAATACAGTTAAAATCATAGAGTGCAATATTTTTTTTTACTTTCTAGGAGAACATTCTGGGCAGAAAGAAACTATAATAAGTAAATTAATGGTGCTGCACAATGAACTAAATGATACTGCGACGGATTACCAAATTTTGCTTCAGATGCTTATATCACTTTTTAAAAAGTTGTCGGAGGTATCTATGGTATTTTTATTCTCAAACTTTATTATAATTCTTACGATATGTTAAAAACCGTCAATTTTAAAACTTTCAGGTGGAAAAGACCATTGAGAACTTACAATCTCAGTTTAATTTGACCCGACTTCCAAATGTTTGTTCTGAATTGGAATTGCTTCTTAAGGAACATGAAGCATCCGAGCAAACAATTTTAGAGCTCTTCAAATTTACTCAGAATGAGAGTGAACAAATAATTAATAGGATCGTTCAACAGGTAAGGGATTTAATTCAAAAAGGAACAAATTCGCACAAAATGTTTTTGCACCACATTTAAAACATATTACATTTGTGTTATTGAATAATTTTGTGTGCTGTAATTCTGTGGTCATTATAGGCAGGTATGTATCTCAACATATAGTATAAATATTGAAAAGTATCCGTATCCTTGATATGTCTGCTTATATTTTGTAATTCATATACATTTTCAAGGAAAAAGTGCAAAGAATACTGGGAAAGTATAAACTAAAACTCATACATTATAAATCGCTGAATTTTAATAATTTGACCAGCAGGGAAAATTAAAGCCATCGGCTATAACATTGTATAGCCTATTACATTTCATGTAATTGAATCAAATTAATCTTTTCACTGTGATAATTATTCACATATTTACTATGTCCAACGAAATGCATTTCGTGGCATGGATATTACTCAACCTATTCTTACCACAATACTTTCTCTATATTCTGAAAGCTAATCTCCTGAGAGCCTTCACTCTCAATAACAATAACTTAGATTATCCGAGAGGTGTATGATGTCATTCATTACAGAGACGATTGGACAACAAAAGTTCACCATGCGAATCTTTGCAACATTACATCCGCCACCACACAAACATCATGTAAATTATAACATACTATATTCTTAATATTTTAAACTGCAATATAAATGTCTATTGATTTTGGTATCTTCATGGGTCCCACCTATCACTGACATGCACACTCAAACCAAGGCAGACACGTTAGGAAACATGTCAAAAGAAAACCATGTAAAGGTGTAGTACGAAATCCACCTAAAACAACATTCCCACTGAGCCATAAATAATAAGCATTTACTTGCAAATATGTATTAGCAGGCATTCATGGCCGACATATGGACCTCCATCCTGAGTAAGAAACTTCCCTGTAACTTTTCGGTAACGACCATTCTTAAGTTTTATTATTTACTTATAAGTTAAATGTTTATAAGAAGACAATCTAAACCTCAACTCAACAAGAATTTTCTGGTTGAAGTTTATTTACACGCGATGTTCGAATTATTTCTTGTATTATCCAAGTATTGCTTACCCATAAAATGTTTGATTTTCCCATTTTAAGAGGAAAGGACGGGTTAAAGTGAAATGAAAGATTTGACAAAAATTGTTGTTCGTATTAACAACACTGTGAACGGCGTGTCACGATTCCTACAGCAAGTTGTCCATAATTTTATTTTACCTTTCGTATATAATCTGTACGTACGTGTGTTATTTAATTAGCCAGTATTTCAGTTACTTTTAATTGTAAGGACTTGTGCGTCGTGGTCACTAAAACTTACCCCGTTCTTTATTATTTCATATCTAGTAGTGGTTTTGTTAATTATGATTTGATCCATTTCTTTCTTTTACTTAACTGAATTCCGTACAGGGTACATGTACTATAATTTCTGAATTTAAATAATGAATTAAATTTGATTTCGCGAGATTAAACCAGAAAATTAGAAATGAAATATCCACCGACAACAATGAATTCAGAAGATTTCATTAATTTGGCTCGTTGTTAGCTCTAGATTTCCTAATTCATGTAATGTATAGCTCACTGTTTTCGGACTGCAGATGCAAAGAAGCTCATGTTAGCGTAGTGTGATATACGACTGTTATTTAAAAAACGTTTTGAACTGCGTATACTTTGAATAGGACCATTCGCGCGTTTGTCGAGTTCCTTGTGAAAAACAATGTTTTGTAAAGCGAAAAATATCTCTCAGACTTTGATCGCTCTGTAATGCTGTCTCAATGAACCCAATTTTATTTGAAAAAGACTGAACATTACGATAAATTATGTGGTCTTTTGCGTGTAGCACCTATACGGATATTTCTCTGTTGTACCTGCCTTCATTATCGGTTCACCCTAGGAGAAATCTGATGTAAACAAACAGAAAAACATTTTGCGTCACGCTACGCTTCTTATTGAACATGTCCTAGCGCACTACTTTTCATTATGCGAACAGAATGCCCCACCAATTCAAATTGAATAAGACCTGTTATGCAAATGTCATGCTCATGCAAATACTTTACTTACGATCAGTCTGCAACAGGAAGGAAAATGTGATGTCATACCTGTCGTGAATAAGATTTTTTCTCTCTCTTTTTTGAAACACGAAACCACATGTCAATAATTCGTATGAATTAGTTTGCGTAAAATTCGTATCACTTCTACAAGTTGAACAATTTCGCCTGCGTTAGTGAATCGTTTCTCAAGAAAAGGGAATGTACTTTTGAGAGCGTCGGCTTCCGCGGCCTGAGTCAGTATTTACTTGGCTGTCCATGGCGAAGGTGCCGACGTTTCGGTCGCCATTCTGCGACCTTCCTCATTACCAGAGCCTCATACCAGAGCATTACGCCCTGAGGAAGGTCGCAGAATGGCGACTGAAACGTCGGCACCTTCGCCATGGACGCGGCGTCACCCGGACAGCCAAGTAAATACAGAATGCACTTTTGATCGTGCAGCACTGACTAAAGTCGTCGTATGCTTCAGTCACGGGTTTCTTCCGTTTTCGTTTCTTCTCTGGTGTTTGAAGTTGCCTCGACGGTGAGCTCTTTCCTGAACGCTGAAAACCGATATTCCCATGAACTCTGCCGCAAGGTCAGCGATTTGCTTCCCCATCACAACCCGCTGTGGAATCCACTGTCTTTTGCACATGGCCACTGGTGATTCCCAGTACTGAACGAAGAGGAGGCACTAATAGGAGGCGATGACGAAGCTTTGGGAGGGGGATACAGAAGTGCCAATGAGAAGTCAGAGATGCGACAGTCAGCGTCGCATCACCGTCGGCTGAGACCTCGCATCTTACACACAGCGCATGATGGGAGTTCAATGTCATCGGATACGAAGCGAAGCCGTCGAAGGGATGTTTTTCGACCTATCGCATTCGCGGAAGTGACAGACATCTACCGGAGAGCGCATGGGAAAAAACGAAAGGTACAGAGAGATATACGTGAGGAACATATTTTAACAAAAAAATTAAAAGAGCCGAATAACTTGGGGATGCGACACATCACTCGCATCTATTGAACCTATGCCACTGGTCGAGACTATGATGTTCGTGTTTTGGGTTATACGCAGTTTGTCAACATGATGGTCAGGTGCAAAGCGACCGCCCAAATTAATATCATTCTTCCCTCCTGTAATAACTACTGTGGCCCGTTCAATGAGTTTTTGTGTGGGTGGAAAACTCACTGATCACGTTGGCAAACCTCTCGTTAGATTAAAACGCCGTGACAAAGAAGTTGGATGGAAGTTTCCCGCTGAGCAGGGAGATTTGTCGCCAATGGCGCTTAGGTAAAATTAGTAACTTTTTCATAGGCTTAGTGGAATTGCCCTTATTAACTGGTGGGCTGGGTAGCACAACTTTACGTGTATTTGTTTCTTTGCCTTGCTAGCCTGTTTGCGTTGGTTTGTGGATGGACATGTCGATGATAGGAAATGCAAGGAAACTCAGTGTCAGAATCTAACGCAGAAAATCTATTTTTTGTCTTGATTGGCCATGGTGATTGTGGTTCCGCTTTCGCAGGTGAACGGTTGGAAAGTTCCGCAGTGTTGTCTATTGTTATCTAATCGTCTGTGTTACGATCGACCTATTCGACCTGAGATATGTTGCTACAGTCACGCGTGTGAAGGCTTTCAGAAGATTTACTTTGAGAGTGTAGAGAGTTGAAAGTGTAGAGCGAGTAGTTGCCATGTCACGAATGCGTATCTAAGTGAGTGGTAAATATGAAAATAAATATATCAAAACCCAGACAAGTGTAAAACTATTACATACACGAATATATTTTGAATTAAATTAAGTTACATATTTGTTATGTAATAAAAGCTAAGAGATCTAATTATAATTTAAATGTGATTGTTTAATTGCGAACAGAATAAATTGTGTTATATGTAACAGTTCTAAGCCGCAAACTATGAACGCAAACGAAACTGTAAGACACTACCAATACTCGCCGCGTTTTTCTACTATAATACTTCTTGTTATATGTCTCCAATGTAGTACATACAGCTCATTTTTTTAGTTTTTGAGTATAAATAAATAGTATGAGAAATATCGGAATACGCTTCGTTAACTTTCTGAGGATGCGTTAGTAGCTCCATTTTATTGAACATTACTCAATGTAAGACACTTTTCCAATAAATTTCAAGAAATTCAATTTTCGGGGTTTACTTATTTTCAGGAGCCGGAGAAAGCTGCTGAGTACGATACTGAAAGAGTAAAACGATTATTGGAAGATAAAAAATATGCTTGGAAATCAGCGTGGACTGCTAGAAAATTGTTATTAGAAGAGCAACAGCAACTCTCTCAATTTGATTCTGATTTGCAGCAGATTAACTCCAATTTGAGTGATCTTTCCAAACAGCTAAACACACTAAAAGGACAGTATGGAGAATCACTAACAAGCGCAAAAGCTACGTCTGTTGCATTTGTTTATTTCGAAAAAACCATTCAGGTGAGTTCTAACTTTAGTAATTATCAATGAGTTAGTTATTTTCAATTAATGTAGAACCCTTAGTATTACTATTGATAATCTTGATATTATTCCGAATAATATTAATGAGAAAGGCGAGTTAACATACTGACCCTGAAGATATCCCTTCCGTTTTCCTGAAAAAAGCTCAATAGTTTTGTATACACTCATTTGGAAATTATTTTCTAAATCAATTAAAGAAGGCTACTTTCCTGTGGGAAGGAAGGCTTTATAACTACTAGAGAGGGGAACAAAATATTGGTTAATAATTACATACCTACCTCAATACTTAATGTAATTCCAAAATTCTTCGAGTCAGTTCTTACAAAAACCAATAAACCGTTTTGAACATTTTATTGATAAATAAATATCATGGCTTTTTGAATTCAAGACAAACAGCGACAAATCCAATGGTATTCACAAAATATCTATTGGACAAAAGTTTTCAAGTGGATGTAGTATTTACAGACTTTTCAAAAGTCATTGATATAGTTCGTAAGAATAAATAATGATCTCAGTAATGAATCCCAGTGGAGCTTCGATAATCACACGATTTTGACCGTCGTTAATATAAGGTAGTAAGTTTTCATAGATCCCATAGAACCCATTTTCCTCCAGACGTCGCGGAAGTGGAGTTGTACAGGTCTCGAGTGGAGACATGTGAAAGCCCATCCCATGCACCTGATCGTACATTTCTTGCAGTTATGTGAGTTGGGGTGGTGTCCTCACTATATATATTTCATTCTGGGGGAGGTCTGCCGATGCAGCTGGCAATGACAGAGAACCCGCAACTGCAAGAATAGAGAGATATAATTAGTGGATATCAGTACCTTTTTTCGTAATTTTTGTATCCCAATCAGACAAATCAAAGTAGTCGTATTTCCTTTTAAAATTTGATTAAACAAAAAAGTCTGCTATGGACTTTTGTGTCGTTTGAATTTTCTTTGACTTTCTATTTTTTAGATTTGCAAAAATCACTGTCGATTTACGTACGGTTTCAGTGGACCCAAGAAACTAACTTAAACATTTCAGGAGACAAGTGGGGCTTCAAAGTTATTTAAAATGTATAATATAAAATATTTTAATTGTGTCACATTCAAAGAAGTCTCCTAAGACACGAATGAAATCGTATCGTGTTTTCCAACTAAAGTAAACGAGACATCGTAATAAAACTTTCAAAACTAGATGTAGACAATGCAATGGGAACCCTGCATCATATGAGATAGTATTGGATCGTGCATCTAAGGAGACAAAGTAGAACACATAAAAATTCCGTGTTATTTGACTAAAAATACACAAAGACCGGCACTTATATTTTTACGCGATCCCAAAATAGAGGAAATTTGTGATATTAAAGAATCTCGTCACTTGAAGGGAATGCATTTTTAAATCACTTAATATTATAATAGGATAATAACTTTCATTTTAATAGATTTTAACATATATTTTTGTTTCCAAAAGCCGCTCTGTAAATTTGTCGCCCCAAGTAGCTGCTAAAGTTGCATGTGCTTTGTGCCGGGTCCGGTTTTGGGCGTGCACTGGCTGCAGACAGGTCACCAACTTGCACACCTGCACTTCATGATGCACACAAAGTTTATTTATCTATAAATACGGGCACTCCTTTTAATTATCTTTATTATGTATTTAATTTCCTTTTCTTCTTGTGTATTCATTCATCATCGTCTCAGGATTGTTTTCTAATCTTGTTGGTGTTGTAAGTTCTTATTTTATGTTGATGAAGTACAAACGAATATTATAACCCTCACCTGGTAAGCCAGTGTCTTTTTTTAGAGATATCTATCCTTGAGACTGACTACTTTCTCAGAATCACGGGAGTTCAGCTTTTTCCCCCACTATTTTGCTTTTTTAAATTTCTAAATACTTGATGTACAGCATACTGCTGATATCTAAACAGCTTTCAGTCGAAGCGTGTTGTGAAAAGGGGGAGGTGGGCAATTTAACGGGCAGTCGTTCGGAACCCAATGTCATCATCGAAGTGTTAGTCTCCTCACTATTGGAAGGTGCAGTTGGGTGTTATTTTATAGACAGTATATCTACGCCCCTGGGTTAACTATTTTTTATTATGCATGTTTTTTACTGTACTTGATATTTTATTGTATTTTTTACAGTTGTTGGAGAATAGAATTCAAACCTTTATGAGTACAACAGAACAAATTTTGAAATCTGAACATGCTTCATCCCATGTGGAAAGTAAATTAAATGAATTACAAACAAAGTGGTCAGCTTTTATGAATCAAGTGAAGAAAAGTAGACAATTAATTGATATGAATATTGAATATTTCACGTTAGTTGAAGAGGTAAGTTCTTGCCATATATTTGAATACAATTTTTACTTTTCCACTCACTGTCAGTGAGCCAGCAAAAACAATGTCATTAAAAATATTTACAAATATATCTATACTTTTATTGTTTGATTATACTGGTTGTGTTGGAAAGATGTCTGATAAAAAATAGATATTTGTGACATATTGCTGCAGTACGTCCATGAAATTATAAGTACAGGTGTTAAAAAGTAGCCAGACCCTCAAAAATTGTACTATGTGCGTCTGCCTATGAAGAAAACTTCCACCTATTCGTAGGGATTTTTTCAAATTTAATATTCCTCTTTTAAATGTACGCGGTACTTTACATGGAGCCTCTTGAACATTTTCAAAATTTTCTCAAAAATGACTCCAAATTTGTTACTTAAATTTCTTCCAAGAATAGAGTGAATTACATTTGTAAAGATGCCAAAGTTCCGATTTTCACTGTTAACACTTAATTTTCGAAAAATGTAGATTGAACGTTTTCGGCGTCTTACTATAACTATTCTTGAACATTTGTATTTTTTTCCAAATTAAATTTGATCTCCACAATTAGTTTTTTCATTAAGGTCAGGCTCATTTCTTTTAAAAAATAGTAATGTTTGCGTAATTTTGGGAGAAATATGGACAAGATTAAAAACTACCAAAAACAAGATGATTTCAGTTCATATTCAAACAACTACTGGTCTCAGTTTATGTTGGATGGTCGAGAGCAGGGCAAGAAGCAAGAACGGCGCATTGTAGTATGCGAGATTGTGTTAGAACAAAGTAAAGTGGACCAGGTTCGACTATCCTTCCCAGAATTCATGAAAGATTACAGAAAAAGCAATTAGAAAAATGGGAAGGAATCTGCACTTAATTTTATTCCTGGGACTTCTAAGTAAGGGCCATTTGCCTAAGATCACGTAAACCCAAGTAAATTAGCTCCAATTAGAAGCGAGATTCAAAACCTCTGTAAATCAGTCACAAGAGAACAGAACCAATGCAGAATTCCCAGAAACTATGCAGGACACATTTCAAATAAGAAATCCTGTGATATTACTTTCTCGCTCCAAATATTTTATTACACTTTGTCCTGGATAACGTAAAGGACGCTTAAGAGAATGGTGCAAGTCTCATATTCGTTAAAATCCCAGATTTTTCTAAATTTGTATCAGTGCATTGTTTTGGTCGTCTTGCTACAACTACAATATTGAAGATAGAGTTTTTTCCGTAATAAAATATATTCTTCAAAGACATCTTGAAATAAGGTCATGTTCAATTTTTCAAAATATGAGTAGTTTTCGTGTAATTTTTGAAATATAGGCGCATTTTTCTCGAAAACCGCTCCAATTTTTTTTTCTTTTCATTTCTCCCCGTATGTGGGGCCTCGGTGGGTAAGGCTTTGGAAGAACCCTGGCGGAATGGCCGACAAAATTAAATCCCTCCGACAACATCCCACCTTAACAACATATCACTTTCTCCCAACCAGAGAGCTCGGGTATAGTTAACTGAGACTGCCATTTGGCGGAGAAAGTGAGTGTCAAATTCCAGGCGCATTTAGGGGATCGCCCGCGAGGAGCACTAACTCGATAAAGGTCCCCAGACACGCGTCTGAGGTAAGCTTCCAAGGAAGTATGGATCAAAAACCTCGGGTGCGTAACAACTGACTCAAGTGAGTCTCTCCACAAATAATCCCATACCATAAATAAATAAATCATCGTATGTATCACGGTAAAAAATAAGGTGTTAGTCCCATTTTCGGCCGAATTTGTTTTTCGAAAGTTGCAAAAATTTCATGTTGGAAATATTGGATTGAGACAATTACATTTTTAAGCGTCCTCTGAGTTCGAGCTTTATAGCTTTTCTATAGCGTAGTAGTATTGCTGCCGGTTAGTTAACCCGCAGGGCATGAGTTTGAGTCATGGTGCGGAAAATATTTTTTGTTGGTTGAAAACACTTTTACATGTTTATGTAGTAGTACAATACAGCGCAGCAGTTAGAAATAATGCCAGAAAGTATGTGCTGTTGTAGCACTAGTTTTCGTACGACGAGAGTTAGAGAAAAATGGCCTAGTAGAAACAGAGATGTTGCAATTCGTCTGAATCCATATCGTATTTATAATACATAACATTATTCATGCATAAAAGAGACTCGAATCTTTTATCCTGTGTACACTCATGGAAACATTAAGTTTCGCGTCGAAAATGCCTCGGCCCGAGAGGTTGATGGCGATGGGTATCCCTGCCTGCCGACAGTCATATAGCGATGATTTTCAAAACTACGTTCTCTAGACACAAGGTATTCTAGAAATTTTGCGGCCCAATTCCTGTGAGAAGTTTCTGTTTCCTGCATAAAGCACTGCCATCACGAGCGGATGGACTTTATATCCAACACCGTCCAGATACCGGATATCTTTACTTGCTGTTTGGGGGAATAATCCGAGTGTTTGCGTGAAAACATCGTCCAGACCACCACGTCTCCTTCTCTTCCGAGTGGTCAGCATTGCCCCCGCATGAGTGAGTCTTCGACTCCGCAGCAGTGCCCCAACGATGTTCTTGGAACATTCTCATTGGAACCGCTATTGTACGTGTGTGCGATTCCTAGAACGGCGGTCGCTCCGACCACCGCAGCGCCAGCGTCCGCGGTCCGAGCAAAGGTCTCAGCGCCGTGGTCGCCTCTTGGCGCAAACTGACCTCGGTCAACCTCACATTGGTCGCTTTCCGTCTCTTGACGTCTTTCCGTCTCTTGACGCCACAGACACCATCAATGGGTTGGCAGAGCTGCCTCTCTTGCTACCACGTTCCAACTGGTCGCCTAAGCTACGTTCGAGGCGCGAAAACTGTTCACTGATCGGGATGGTCATATTTTAATGGCTAATAGGTGTTTTGTAGGGGAGGGGAGGCAGAATACTTTTTAGGAACCTTAGATACAGGTTTCATTAAATTTCTAGATTACATGATAAGTATTGCATCGTCTTCACGTCATCATTTTCTTTTTCACAGGGAGAAAAATGGTTTCGAATGGGAAGTAAACTGCTGATAACAATTGCGAGAAAATCTACTGCCGTTAGAAATCCTCACGAAGCCGACCAACTACTAGCTGAAGTGGAAAACTTTCTAACGAACGGTGAATTACTTCAACAAGAGAGAATCAACAAAATATCAAGTCTTGCTGAGGAATTGCACGGTATGTAGAATGAACTTTAGTAATACGTCTTAGCAATACACGTAGAGAATCTGTATATTGTTGACATGTATAATACGTACTTCAATATAGTAGTAGTTATTAACTAGTACATGTTAAAATGCAACTTGTTTTCATAAACTCTGGTGATTGAAAGCAGACAACTTAGACGCTGTCACCACTAGACCAGTCGTATCTTATTTAAGGGCGAAATTCGGTCACTACAGCCACTTTTGTATGTTATTGTTGTTCTTTTAAATACATGAATTTTCAGAAGAAATTTCAACAAATGTACAGTTTTTTCAAATAAAGAGCTCGGCGGCGAACGATGGTAACCTACAAAGCTATAATTTTTGTGATAGTAAAATTGTCATATGCTTCCATCTACTGTCTATGTGTTGCGATTTTCAAATAGTCCAAATTAAGGCACACAGTTGTCTCCCGGATGTTGTCATCTTTATGAACACCATTTACCCTCTTTTCAACAAAAAATTTCACTTTCTTGTATCTTGCAAACATTTTCTCGCGGGTCACCATTTTTTGAACTCTTCAAATCTTGAACCGCGTCATGTTTTGTAAAATGGAAAGGGTTTTCTTTTTTCAAGTAATATTCAATCTAGGTTACAGTGTATTTGAATGAATCATTTTATTCATAACAGTAGATAATATTATACATCAGGATTCAGCATTCATAACAATGTTTTGCGAATCAACGTTGTAGAAAAAACTATTAAAATTCACATGTTTTTATACTTTTAGGTGAAGAAGGATCTAAGCAAGTAACCATTATTCGAAATGAAAATAAGGAAATGATTGATTCTTTTACGATTATCAGAAAGGAATTACATATTCTTGCTCAGAATTTGAGAGCTGCTGAAGAACAACGGGAAAGGCAGAAAAAGGTAATTATTTCACGAAACGAATACCAGTTTTTAAATTTAGAAAAAAATCCTCTAACACTGGTGTAGCCAGAATTCATGTTTCGTGGGTCCTTGTTATCGAAAAATCGAATGACAGCAAAACGTCTGTCCGTCCGTCTGAACAATGCTAGTGGCTACACCGTTCAGCCGATTTTCTCCAAAATTCATATTCCCCAATCGATCTGGCTGATTTTGCGGCCCTAAAATTTGAAACCGATATTTTAATTTTGGGGAGTACTTTACATGAAATTCCCGGGACATGTTTTATATTTTTTTAAAAATGGCTCCATCATTTTTAATTAAATTGTGTTGTTGGATAGTGTGAAGAACATTTAAAAGATTGGTACAAGTCACTTGTTTGTTAAAAACCCTAATTTTTCGAACGTTGCAAAACCTCAAAATATTTCTGGCATTTTCCTACAACTAAAATATTAAAGACAGATTTCTTCTCTTCCATTCTGTTCCTTCAAGATAAATTTTGAAATAAGATCATGTACAATTTTTGAAAATGTTAGTACTTTTTGCGTATTTGTGCGTGAAAATACGGGCGAAAAAGTACGTGCTGTGTTAGCACCACTTGTTATGGTACTCAAATGCACAATCTACAACGTTTGTAGCGTCTTTAATGCCAAATTGAATTCTATTCAAGGTCGTAAGTAGGATTGAAACAACGTAATGGCGGTGGAGCCTCCCCTGCTAGACGCACACGAGCGATTCAAGCCACTCGGTCTCTATCCATTCATTGCCCTAATAGCAGATTCGATGCACCGGCTAAAAGTTAATGATCACAGGTTAATCTTCTGCTGAATCACTGGTCACGTTGAAATCACAAGATAATCTGACCAAGTAGCAAAATAGACCAAAAGCAAATAAGATATATCAGAGATGCCGACAACAAACACTCAAATGTATAATAAACGATGTATCATGGGAGACCTTGTGGCGAATCCGAGACTTCAAACCAAAAAGAAACTAAAACCCCTGAACCTGTGTCACTTTTCGGAAGGATCTCTGCCTCCCGTCTGTGACGGATAGGCAGCACATCTACATACGCTATGAAAAGCTAAAGGATGTGCGATATAAGCATAACCTTTCCGTCTCTCTAAAGATTCTTTACAATGATGAGTCCTCCAGCTCAAGACACTTCACCCGAAACAGGAAAGTGCATTTTATCACCTCAATCGACGACAGAGGACGTTTTAAAGACTGTTTTACCATTACAGTCTGTTAAATGTTTCAACCCAATTTTTGATATGCCAAAAATATTTTATCGTATTTGATATTATCGTATCGATATTTTTTTTTCTGCATAATTTACAATCTGCATAATTTACAACAATAAGCAAATGGTGTCAACAGATACATTTCCGACGTGAACAATTTATGACAATGAAAGATTT